AACACAATAGGATTTGAAGATATTTCCCTACCAGCCCAAATGCAGTCTTTGACTCAGCACTCTTTAGGTTGTAAATAATAGAAATCCAGTTCAGAGTATCTTAGAGAAGTGAAAATTACTTTCAGGACATAGGGCTATCTTTAGAATGAAAAGGGAAAGACGATAGCCTGGATTTGTAAGGGATAGGTATCACCTCAAAGAATGTTAGCAGGGGCCAAGTTGCTAATCTGTTTGATTCTTTTGGGAGTTGTATGTTGGTTTTGTCTGCCAGATTGTTTCTTGAAGATCAGGAACTTCAACTTATATCTCCCTTTCAGATGAGCAGTCTAGACTGAGACTGGCCTGTGTCTGGCCCAGTTTCAGAGCTTTGGCCCAGCTTGGGTCAGGTGTTCATTCCTGAGGCAAATGAACTGTGGCCATAAAGCAGAGCCATGTGTAAAGAAGGCAGCTGTGAGAGGTTCTCAGGGAATGGTAGATTCTGTGGATTGTGTTGACCTCCCACTGATATGATCCTACTAACACTGAGAATGTATAGGAGATAGGAAGAGGAATGATTTTGGTGTTTGATGATTTTATTTATTTGAGAGAGAGTGAACCAAACAAGTGTGAGAGAGTGAGTGAGGGGCAGAGGGGAGAGACAGAGAGAGAGAGAATCCCAAGTAAACTGTACTGAGTGCAGAGCTGGATGGTAGGGCTTGATCTCACAGATCAAGAGTTGGCCACTTGAGGATTGACCACCCAGGTGCCACAGACCTTGGGAGTTTGGATTAGGCAAATGGGGAGGTTACAGTGTGTGTGACTTGTGGGGAGGCATACGGTGGGGGGGGGGAGTGTTTTGGTTCCATTGTTATATTTTTGTAAAGGCAGCTAGTCTAGAAAGATGCAGGTTAAGGTGATCTGATGATGTCTGTTTTGAGGCAGGTAAAAGGGGAAAAATAAGGGAATTCATAGGAACCCACATAATTAGCATAATTCCTTTTATTTTCTTAACCCAGCTTCTTTTCTTCTCAGGTTGGGGGAAATTTGCATTGCATCATCGCATTCCAGAGACTTAATTGGCAAAGATTTGGCCTTTGGAACTTTCCATTTGGAAGCATTAGACGAGAATCACAACCTCCAACACATGCCCAGGGAATTGCTAAATCTGAGAGTGAAGATAATATATCCAAGAAGCAGCATGGGCGTCTGGGCCGGTCTTTCAGTGCTAGTTTCCATCAGGACTCGGCATGGAAAAAGATGTCCAGTATCCATGAGAGAAGGAACAGTGGCTACCAGGGTTACAGTGATTATGATGGGAATGACTGACCACGTTGGATACCGAACATCTTGTGTTAAACACACAACTGGTTCTACACAAGACTGCATTAAGACAGTAGAAGATTTTATTAAGCCTACACTAAATAGAACAGATCTTGTGGTACAAAACATAACCTTGTAGTTCTCCAGTAAATAAGCTTGTGTATGATTATGATGGGTGATTTCAGATAAATAAGCAGATAAGCACAGATTACTGTCCTTTTAAAGTTAAGGTATGAAAACATTATGGATAATTTCACAAAATCCAAATAAATTGCATATAAACAAATTAAACACAAATTCACCTAATAGCATCATGATTTGCAATACTTAAGCATGAAATTATTTCTTATGACTTAATCACCAGGCATTTTTTGCAGATAGTTTTATTGCTAAACTCAAAATGTAAGGCACCATCTACCTTTTTAAACAAAATTAGGGTTGTTGATTTCTAGTTTTTTCTGATGGTTAAAGCTCACTTAAAATTATTTAGGGACTCCAGAATTCTTTTTCTTGTAAGCAGTATCTTGCCTGCCTCATTTGTTTCCTGGCTTTCTCAGGATCCTCAGTAAAGAGGCAAAAGAGAAGACTCAAGAAACTCATCTTTTCTATGTGCATTGATTCAGGATATTCTTGACTTTTTTGACTTGGTATCTTACTATCCAATATTGGCAAGATCTTCAGGTCTTGAAAGATGTCTGTGTACAATGAACCTTGTTTTGGGATACAATAAAAGAACAAGTGGGATCCAAAGTTTCTACATCCAAGGTAATGTGTGAAATGAAATCTTGTGATATTTGATTGGTCCCTCAGTGTGGAGTCTATATCGTGAGCAGCATTAAAGAGGCATTAGGAATGCTATGTCACTCAGAGGGCAAATATCCATATTCCCAACTCCGAGCTGCTTCTTTTTTAAGCCTGTGCAATTAGCTGTTTGAAGTGAGTGTTAAATAGTTCAGAAAGTGTGGATTTCATGTATTTGAGCTCCTCTCCAGTTGATGTCAATTTTTATTCTGCTGCCAACCTGTGACTTGTTCTTTCATTTCAGGGGCTGTTCCATGCTCACATCAGTAACTTGATTATTACAAGGTGCTGAATGTGTTGGTAACCATACTGCAATACACCTCAAGGAAGAGGGTTCAGATTTTTATTTTTAGGATATTTTCATTTTCTTCTCTTTTGAATTTTATATCCATTTATCCACTCAGACATGCCTAGCCTACAGACAGGGATATATATTACAAAAGGGTCATTTTTCTGAAGAGAATATTTTGCGTGAAATGCAAAGGAATGAGGAGATTTGTAGGTTGCTGATTTTGTTACTTCACACTGGAACTTTTAAGAAGTTTTCATCAAATAAAGTTTTGTTTTCTACTTTTAACAGTGTGAATGCTTTGAACCTTTGTTTTAGGTGGGGAGTGCCCTTGGAATTCTGTTGGAAGTTTGTGACAATTGTGCCTAAGTAGTGTGTTAGAAGAAACTTTCTTGTATCAGACTTTTATAATCAGTGGAACGATATAAATTATGACTATAGTTTTAGATTCCTGTAAGACGTCAAAATAGGAAATAGAACATTTAGTTATATGGGCTTGACCTAAACAAAGTTGTCACTTTTGTAGGTCAAACATGGTTGAATATCAGCAGTTTGAGTTCAATGACACATTTCAGAGAAGAGATAGATAGTGAGAACCAAGAGGAAAGGAGACCAATGCAACACTAAGAATACAGTGACACCTAAGAAAGAGGATGAGTTTATATGAATTACCTATTGGCCATAAACAATTTTTATAAAAGTCTTGATATATAGGATTACTTAATAACTTGATATATAAGTTCGGCAGTTATTAAGAGCACATTGAGGTTTATAGAGACTAATTCCCCCAAAATATGTGCAAGTCACTGTGCACTTCTCTTTCAAGATGAGCAACATTCCTGTCACATTTGATTTCTTGGTCAGTGCTTCTTAGGAATCTCCATAGAAGCACTGAAGTTTCAAATACTGGCTCCATGCTCACTAGCTTTGCATCACTACGTGCAAGTTAGGATTAATGTTTCTGTGCTTATTTCCGCATTGGTTGGGGATAATAGCATCTATTTTATAAATTGTTCTGAAGAACAAGTGAATGCATGTCCAGTGTTTAGAAGAGTGCTTTGCAGACAGTGCTTGCTATTATTACTCCAAAAGTGTGTATTACTGCTCAGAATCTTGAGAACTCCTTAAGTAAGTCAAATACACACCCCTTAGTGACTGTTCCCTCAAAAGAATATTTTGTATTCAAGCAATGTTGCTCTGGTTTTAAAAGCACATGTAATATTCAGATGCCTATGTTGCTATTTGTTTTTACCCAGCTTGTAGACATAAAAAATGTTTTAGATGAAATCCTGAAATTGTTCCTATCCCCAGTGCTACACCCCATCATTAGGCCATGCTGGTGCAGTAGCCAAAACATGTCCAAACTTGCCTTGTCCCAGACAACTTGCTCTGGGATTCATCACAGTTTGCATATCAGTTTTACCCATAGCATTTTCTCCCTCGATCATTCACTCAGCAAACTACTTTGATCACTATTACCCACTAGGTGTTTCATATAAAAATCACCGATCTCAGAACCCTAAGAAATAGGTGGCACCACTATTTCCCTCCCAGACCCTCACTGGGAAGAAACTTGCTTAGGATCATCGGGTGTCTCCGTTTACTAGCGCTGCCATAACATACCACAGACTGCAGTGCTTAAACAGCAGAAATGTATTTTTTGCAGTTCTGGAGGCTGCAAGTTTGAGATCAAGGGTTGACAGGTTTGGTTTTACCTGAGCCTTTCTCCTTGTCTTGTGGACGGCCGGCCACCTTCTCGCTGTGTCCTCACAGGCCTCGTCCTCAGTGTGCACATCCTTGGTGTCTGTGTGCCCAAATTCCCTCTCATAAGGACACCAGTCAGAATGGGTTAGGTTCACCCTCACAGTCTCATTTTAACTTAATCACCCTTCAAAGGCCAATCTCCAAGTACAGTCACGTTCTGAGGTGTTGGGGTTTAGGGGTTTGCCATATAAATTTTGGAGGTGCACAGAGAGCTGAGCCCACCAACACAGGGTTATGATGTGGCTTGGGCAGGATTTGGACCACGGGCTGCCTGACTTGTGAGGACATTCTCTTTCAGGAGGATGCAAGATACACCCCACAGCTTTAGAGGCTGAAAGAAGTCCTTCAGGCAATATCTATGGAACACCTGCTAAGTGTATGGAGTCTATGTGGGGTCCTAACAGTCAACAAAATAGCTCTTGGCTCCTGTGGAGGGGAGGGGGACAACAAACATTGAACAGGCAATTATATTAACCAATGTAAAATACAACTAGTAACCATTTCTGGGAATGACTCCACAAATGGAGTCAAGACCAAAAAAAAAAAAAAAAAAAAAAAAAGCCCCCACAAAAAAACCCCCAAAATTGTGCAATGGTTTTCCTAAAAAGTAATTTTTAAAAAAGATTTTATTTATTCGTGAGAGACACAGAGAGGCAGAGACATAGAGGGAGAAGCAGGCTCCCTGCGGGCAGCCCTATGCGGGACTCGATCCCAGGATCTCGGGATCATGACCTGAGTCGGAGGCTGACGCCCAACCACTGGGCCACCCGGGGGCCCTCTAAAAATTAATTTTTGCTAGTTTTGTCATAAAGGGTTTCTTTAACAAAATCACCACCTCATTTAAATCGACCTTTTAAAAAAAGATTTATTTAATCATTGGAACAAAGAGAGAGACAGAGACAGACAGACAGACACAGGCAGAGGGAGAAGCAGGCCCCACGCAGGGAGGCTGATGTGGGACTCGATCCCGGGACTCCAGGATCACACCCGGGGCCGAAGGCGGCGCCAAACCGCTGCGCCACCGGGGCTGCCCTAAATCAACCTTCCCATTGAGCTTCAACCTCGTTTCTATACAAGTCAGAACCAACGCGTATGATGAGCTATCACTTATTGGATGGTAGTGGTGAGCAGTCTTCGTACATCACCTGTGTTCCGAGCTAAAACAGCCTGTAAGACGGATCTTATGCCCCATCTGCAGAGGAAAAGCCAAGCCCTGAACAAGGCCGAACACTCGGACGCGGCGTGGTCGGGATCGGGGTCGGACCCTGGGCCTGCAGCCGCCTTTCCAGCAACCACTCTCACGATCCAGTTTCTCGTCACTTCCGACCTACGGAACATGGAATCCTACATTTAGACACCGGAGAAAAACCTAACTATATTTCAAGGGCTAAGGCTTTTAAAAGGTGGTTAAGAACGCTGCCCTATTATTATCTAGCTACTACAGGGTGTCGGACAAAAAAACGTGTTAATTTAAATTTTTTTTTTTTTTATTTATGATAGTCACAGAGAGAGAAAGAGAGAGAGGCAGAGACATAGGCAGAGGGAGAAGCAGGCTCCATGCACCGGGAGCCCGATGTGGGATTCGATCCCGGGTCTCCAGAATCGCGCCCTGGGCCAAAGGCAGGCGCCAAACCGCTGCGCCACCCAGGGATCCCAAAACGTGTTAATTTAAAAACCTCGGCCAGGCATCCCCCTTTCCGTGGTCGCTCCTCCGGTAAAACAATAGTCGGTATTAAGAGTTCGCAGAACTGGCGGCGGGCGGGGAGAAACTGATCCGCAGAAGCCACGTGGAGAACTGTCGCGTCAGCGAGGAGACACTCCGCCTCGCGGTAACGGTTAGCTGCGACACGCCCGCGAGGAGGCGGTTCGGGAACGGCAAGGACGCAAACACGGCGACGGAACCGACCCCGCTTCCGGGGTGGAGAGGCGCAGCCAATACACGTGGCCAGGAGGCGGGACTTCCGTCTGGAGCCTGCATTAGACGGAAGCCGGGCGCTCGCGTTTTGCGTCGGTTTGCGCACTTACCTCGAGAAGACGCGCTGTGCGGGGGAACCCCCTCTGGCGGTTTGTCTCGCCGACGCCCCCCGCCCCGCTCCTCCTTTTAGAGTGCGTAGGTTTGGGGCGAACCTTGGGCGAGAGGAGGGCTTGCTCTTCCCGACGCCGGCCCTTCTCTGGTCGCGCCTTTCTCCTGTGAGGCGGTGTCGCCGCCGGGAAGTACCGCTGCGGCCGTGGTGTTGTCGGTCTTGCCCGGGTGGGAGAGTTGGAGTAGGAGGCCGACTGCGACCCCGCCGCCCCGCCTGTCGCCGCGGCCTCATGGGGGTCCGCGGGCTCTGGAAGCTGCTGGAGTGCTCCGGGCGGCAGGTCAGCCCGGAGACCCTGGAAGGGAAGATCCTCGCCGTGGGTATCCTTGACGTGTTCTCGGGTGCGGGGTTCTCGCCCGAGTTCCTCTCTGGGGGCTCCCCACGGGGCGCGGGGTGGGGTGGGCCGGATGCCAGGCGCGCTCGGGGGTGCAGTAGAATCTCCTTGATGACCTTTTCTCTCCGCGAGTGTCTGCCCTTGCCTGCCGTGGGGCCAGGCCACCCAGGATTGCAGTCCTCGGGCTTTATCCCGTAGGGCGTGTGTGTGCTCTGGTTCCCTGGTCCGGAAGGTGGCCGCGACGGCAGTATCCACACACAGGGTTGGTGTGAGTCCTAAAGGGGTTACGTAAGTGAAAGGAGCTTAGGGAACGTCGTAGGGCTTAGAAATAGGATCCCTGCCGGGAGATGAGCACGGAGAAAATGCGGCGGACTTCCCCACCGGAGTTGTACTTGCTGTCCTGAGTTCTGCTCCCCTTAGGCTTGTTAGAAGAAGGGTGGTGGTGGTGGGGACAGGGGTTGGGCCTTTTCTTTCTTTTCTAGAAAGTGACTTTTACTATTTTTGATTATGGGTTTTGGAACCGGAAAGCGATGTTGTACAACACTGGGAAGACTTCGAAAGAGAAACAGTGGTTGGTTGGTTGTTTTGTTTTCTCCTCCTAGTCTCTATGATGGACTTTGAAGGGCTGTCGTTGGTGTATCTGTCTGGTTTGGTGTCTCTGGAATTAAACGTTTTAATTTTCTTTTCTTTTTTTTTTTAAATTGTGATCCTGTATTCCTTTTCTTTTTTATTATTTTTAAAAAATTGAATTCAGTTTGCCAACATACAGTATAATGCCCAGTGCTCATCTCATCATGTGCCCTCCCTAATGCCCAGCACCTAGTTATCTCATCTCCCAACGCCTTCCCAAATGTTTGTCTTCTTCATCAAAATATGAATACTCATGCAAGTTTGGTTTTATTTATTTATTTATGATACACACACACACACACACACAGAGAGAGAGAGAGAGAGAGAGAGAGAGAGAGAGAGAGGCAGAGACACAGGCAGAGGGAGAAGCAGGCTCCATGCACCGGGAGCCCGACGTGGGATTCGATCCCGGGTCTCCAGGATCGCGCCCTGGGCCAAAGGCAGGCGTCAAACCGCTGGGCCACCCAGGGATCCCCAAGTTTGGTCTTTTTATTCGTTAAACATTCTCCTCCTTTCCGTCCTCCTTTTTTGTATGGCTGTTCTGTTTTGGAAGCTGGTGGCACCTTACACCAGTTCTTTACATGGGAACTTATGAGCCTAGGAGTTCATTAGAGAGGTGGAGGAGGGAATCATGTAAATAATTCCTGTCGGTGGTAAATGCAGTTTAAGAGAATGGGTAAGAATTCTGCGGAAGGAGCTACAGAGAGGAACCATTATTTAGCCTGGAGACAACTTATACAAAATGGAACACTGAAAATTTTCAAATGAAAGTTAAGATGATGATTATATTTTCTGCAGTGTGAATAATCTTGAAATATGTCTGTAACAAGTTGTGGCTTGCTGAAAAGTTTTTTTTTTTTTTTATAAATTAATTTTTATTGGTGTTCAATTTACCAACATACAGAATAACACCCAGTGCTCATCCCGTCAAGTGCCCACCTCAGTGCCCGTCACCCATTCACCCCCACCCCCCGCCCTCCTCCCCCTCCACCACCCCTAGTTCATTTCCCAGAGTTAGAAGTCTTTATGTTCTGTCTCCCTTTCTGATATTTCTCACACATTTCTTCTCCCTTCCCTTATATTCTCTTTCACTATTATTCATATTCCCCAAATGAATGAGAACATACACTGTCCTTCTCCGGTTACTGTGGCCAAGTTCAAAAAGGGTGTTGCCTGAGTTCTGCTCTGGGATTTTGATGGAATCTTGTCTCACATTTAGATCTTTCATCTATTTTGAGTTTATCTTTGTGTATGGTGCAAGAGAGTGGTCCAGTTTCATTATTCTGCATGTGGATGTCCAATTTTCCCGGCACCATCTATTGAAGAGACTGTCTTTCTCCCAGTGGATCGTCTTTCCTCCTTTATCGTATATTAGTTGAGCATAAAGTTCAGGGTCCACTTCTGGGTTCTCTGTTCTGTTCCATTGATCTATGTGTCTGTTTTTGTGCCAGTACCACACTGTCTTGATGAACACAGCTTTGTAGTACAACCTGAAATCTGGCATTGTGATGCCCCCAGATATGGTTTTCTTTTTTAAAATTCCCCTGGCTGTTTGGGGTCTTTTCTGATTCCACACAAATCTTAAAATAATTTGTTCTAAGTCTCTGAAGAAGGAATTTACACGTATAATGCAACCCCTATCAAAATTGCTGAAAAGTTTTTATGCACGATACCATGCGTAGGGGAAAGGGAAAGGTGCTGGTGGTTGTTTTTTAAGCACATGTGCTATTGTTGCCCTCTAGTGGTTCTTCAAATCACTGCTTCCTAAAGATTTTCATCATAGACCTGTACCTGAAGGAAAGCGCAGTTTTCAGTGACAGGAACCCTTCAAACTTCAGCAAAGACTTAGGCATTTTATGTTGCAGCCCCTATGAAGAATTAACAATTTATAAAATCTTTAAGATGACACATGAAGTTCAGCATTCTAATTTTTTAGGGAGTTGTCCAAAGTAAGGAAGGTAAATCATTTAATTTAGAATTTAGATTATTTTTAGATGGCCCAGGAGCTCTTTTGGGACATGAAATGATTTTCATGAGGTTATTAAGTTTTTCTGAAAGAACAAATCATTTAAAGAGGACTGTCAAAGATCTTTCACTTATAATTACAATCTCATTTATATACATATGTGTATAAAAATATATGTAAAAGAATATTTGATTGCTGTTTTATAATTGATTTTGCTTTGTTTCATTTTCATGGGAATTTGAATTAAAATATCTGACCTATATTCCATTTTTTGGTCTTTTTTGTTAAGAAATTATCTACGACATACTAGGTTCATAAGTTACTCGTGGATCCTTAAAATACATTTTTTAAAACCATCTATAAGTGAGTGTCTTGTTTATTTATCCAATCTAAATGTGCCCAATAACAATTAACAGTTTAACTTTAGTTTCTTATGAATCTTAGCATACAAAATGCATTTGTAAAATGCATTTATGTCTCTTAGCAAAATATCACACTCTCTTTAGGCTATGCATACTAATTGGTATTAAATTGTAAGTCACCTACCAGTAGAACTAAAGTAATTTACCTTTCGTTTCAGAATGTTATTGGTCCTTTGGGTCTTATCTATAAAATGTTTCTGGCTTTGCTGTGGATTTAATTTTTTTTCCAGCTGTTCCTTTTTTTTTTTTATAGACTTACTGAAATTAGACAAGTCTTTTTTTTTTTTATAGACTTACTGAAATTAGACAAGTCTTTTTTTTTAAGATTTTATTTATTCATGGGAGACAGAGAGAGAGAGAGAGAGAGAGAGAGAGAGAGAGAGAGGCAGAGACACAGACAGAGGGAGAAGCAGGCTCCATGCAGGGAGCCTGACATGGGACTTGATCTGGGGTCTCCAGGATCAGGCCCTGGGCTGAAGTCTTATTCATATATTTTCAGAATGCCTAATTTTACATATATTTCAAAAAATAATTTTAAGATGGAACTTTCAACTTTGAGACTATGTATGATTAATTAAAAAAATAGTCTAGGATTTTGAATTTTAAGCATATGAATGCTAGTAATCTCTGTCTTAAAAGCTTTATATCGAGTTTGAAAGGATAGCAGAGTTGAGAGCCACTGATCTGAAAATAGATTTTCTCACTGATTATAGCATTTAAAGTAATGGTTTAAGTGGAAACTTAATCCTGTACAGCACTGTAGCAACCAGAAATACTTATCCAGTACAGTACAAAGTCATCACCAAATCCTACTTCCAAGGTAAATCTTTAACCTGATACTTCTCATTGTCTTCACACTTTACTAGGGCTATTATAACTAGTTTTAAAACTAGTTTCCTTCTATTTTATTGCCCACTTGTCGCTAGGGTGATCTTTAAGTCATGGCCCAGGGGCTGTACACCCCCATCAACTCTCTTGTTCCTGGGGCTGTGCTCTTGCCACATTGCCCTTTGAGGGAATCGTGCTTCTCTTCTAGGACATTAACGTTCGCTGCTCCTGTTCATTCAGCTCTCTGCTAATTCTTCACATAGGCCTTCCCTAATTAGTCACTGACCCCCGCTCATGTCCTTTTACTCTGCTCTATTTACTTTTTTATAATTTTTCTATTACTTTATTTTTTTCCTTTTTTAATTGTTCATCTTCCCCATTAGAGTACAAGCTTGGATTCAGACACCCTATCTGTTACTTTCAGGGCTCTGTTTTTGTTTTTTTTTTTTTTTTAAGATTTTATTATTGAAGAGAGAAAGAACATGAGGAGGGGGTAAAAGCAGAGGGAGAGGGAGAAGCAGACTCTCCACTGAGCAGGGAGCCTGACATGGGGCTCGATCCAAGGACCCTGGGATCATGACCTGAGCCGAAGGCAGACACCTAACTGATTGAGCCACCCAGGCACCCTGTTCAGGGCTATTGTTTGCTATTCTGTCCCAAGAATTTGGGACACTATGCTAGCACATAGTAGCACTCAAATATTGGAATGAGTAGAATAATAGCTTGCTTTCCACTAGTTACTTTGTTACTAGTTAACAAAGTACAAACACTACAGTGTTTATTGAGTTAATTGTTGATGGGTCTAATTTGTTTTATGGTTATAAATTAGGTAATGTACATCTATTTAAATACTATTCAGCTCACTTAATATCAAGTATTTGTTGCCTCCTATATGCTCTCGGAAAGGGAGAGCCTTGCACAGAAGTGTGGTCTAGCTAAACAAGACATGGATCTTACTGATTTTTCCCTCCATTAGATTGTAAACTCCACGAGGGCAAACCCTTTGTTTCGTTCAGGGCTGTATCCCCAGTGGGATTTCTGTCATGTAATAAGTAATATATTTTTGAATAGGAGCCTATAAGTGGAGTTCTTTATCTGGGCTGAGGAAGTGACCATTAGACTGAGACCTGTGAATCAGAGGTAACTAAGCTAAGAGAGGAAGGAGCATGTGAGAAGACCCCGGAGGCAGGAAAAATCTCTCTTCAAGATAGATTAAAAGATGGAATTGATAGAAGCTGGTAGTGTTTGGATGAGGGGAGCATTGGGGATGACAGCATTCTGGCTCTGGTGAATGGGGGTGACATTCTCTGCAATGGGGGCATAAGCAGCCTGGTGGAAAAGATGTGGAGAAGGAGGCAAACCGTAAGAGAGACACTGGTAACTCTAGGAAGCAGACCGAGGGTCCCTGGAGGGGAGGTGGGCAGGAGGGATGGGATAACTGGGCGATGGGCATTAAGGAGGGCATGTGGTGTAATGAGCACTGGGTATTGTATGCAACTGATGAATCACTAAATTCCACCCCTGAAACTAATAATGCAGTATATGGTAATTACCTTGAATTTAAGTAGGTAAATAAATAGGAATAAAAGAAAAAAATAGATGTGGAGTTTAGTTTTGATTATGTCAAGTTGGGAATGTATGCAAAGCACCAGGTAGAGATGTCAACTAGGCCATCTAGTCTAGGAGTCAGGACAGAGTCCTGGGGCAGCCTACCGGATAGAGAGGGCGTGATGTGGAGGTGCTAAGGTAGCCTGGGGAGCCAGTGCAGCAGGAGGAAGGGCTGGGGCCCCAGGAGAGCTCTGCTGAAGTAATGCCTGAGCAGCGAGTTAGAGGAGTGGGTAGAGAGATGGAGAGCAGGAAAACCAACATCACCCTGTCCATCTGATGGACAAATAGGAAATAATTTAGTAAGAAGCATTTTTTACAAAAGTTAAATCCAGGAAAACATAAATTACTTAAAATTGCAAAAGAGCTAACTATGTTCATAATTTGGCATCTGAACTTCTAGTTTTTCATATTTAACAACCATGTATATTATAAAACGTAATTATGCATTCCATAGTCCTGTAAGCTGTTTCATGTCCTTTAATATTTAGTGACTGTCTTTCTTATCACTATACATGCTGCCATAGCTTCCAGTTTTGAGGGCTGTTTGGTATTCCAGCAAATCCGTATATCATAGTTCAGTTTAAGAAAAGACCTGTTGGAAAACTTTTCCATTGTTTTTCATATTTTCATCACTGTAAGCATCCTTAGAAATAACTTTAATTGTGACTATATGATGATTTTCTGAGAATAGAGTGCCTGGAAATAGAAGTAGTAAAATAGAAATGCCAGTTTTTACATTTTTTTGCTAATATTGTCAAATTGTTCCCCAGAAGAGTTGTGCTTAATTTACTAAAATTCTGTAGAGATTATTAGTTTTTTTTGAAGAAGCAACTGTTTACAATTAGATTTTTTTAAATCACACATATATTGATGTACGGTTTTACATACAGTCTGTGAATAGTAGTAATGAGGGTTCAAATAAACTGATTTTAGAGAGATTCTATTAGGGCTCAACATTTTTCAATTTCTCATGAACTGATGGGGCTTAGTTTCAGGGTCTAGATGATATCAGTTACCAGGACTTGAGTTGTGGGGATGAGGGAAGAAATTCCAAAATACTTTCCATTAACAATTTTTCCAGATATTAGCATTTGGTTAAACCAGGCACTAAGAGGGGTCCGGGATTGCCATGGGAACTCAATAGGAAATGCTCATCTTCTCACTTTGTTTCATCGGCTCTGTAAACTCTTATTTTTTCGAATTCGTCCTATTTTTGTATTTGATGGGGATGCTCCACTATTGAAGAAACAGACGTTGGTAAGAATCATTTTTTTCTTTCTGCATTCTTAGAGAAACGTAGAATTTTAGTTTTCTCTGTAGAATTTTGGAAGCCAAGACTTATTTTGACATATATCCAGCTTAATTTCAACTTTTTAAAAAATTTATCTTGAACACATCAACATTTTTTTTTTAAACGATTATTTGTGAGACTATATTCTGGGTGTAGTGATAAAATTCAGCTTTTAATAGAATGACTAGATTCTTACATTTGAGAGTTTTCCTTTTAGAATATCTTCTTAGGTGTTTTACGTGTGTTTCAGCTGTGCTGCCGAGTATGATAGTCTGTTGGGGAGATGCCTCCATGAATTTGAGAGTGTGGGTCCTCAGTGTTTAAAGACTAATTGGATTTTATGTGGTTCCAGGTATGACTAATGTGGATTATTGAGGAAGGAAGTTGGCCAGGATGTAAAAGAATGACACTGAGTTTCTTCATTCTGAAAGTAGTTTGAAACAATATTGGAACAAAGTTGTGAGCTTTGGAGTAATTGTGTAACCCCCGCCTCGCCCCCCACTGCCCATGACAGCACCCATTTGAACATAGGACTTTTTATGTGTTGAAAATGCCAGCTCATCACTTCATAATCACACCAGACAGACATTGTCTAATTTAGTGAGGATGTAGGATAAGAATAAGGATCAGTAAATGTTTGGAGACATTTGTTCCCCCAATAAAAGGTCTATCTAGACTTGCATGTTGCAGTTTTAAATTATCCAAGGCACAGTCTATCAGGAACTCCTCGGAAGGATTAGACAGGAAAAAAGAACTCCAGAATTTATCTACTAGTAAACATCTCCCTAATTCCCCAGCCCCATGATAAAGGTTTTAGCTAACACTACTATAGTAATCATTTTGTAATATATAAGTGTACCAAATCAACACATTGTATATCTTAAACTTTCCACAGTGTTATATGTCTGTTATATTTTAATTAAAAAAAAGAAAGAAAGGAAAATAATGTTTTGGTATTTCCTTCTTATATTCCATCATAAGCATGGAGAGTATTCCATTTTTTCCTGCATGGACATTTCTTACAAGATTCTTCTGTACATTTTAGGATTTCCTATGATACAATCTTGAATGTTGAGGGACAGAATGGCATGTTAGTAATGTACTTTTTATTTTTGATTTTTATTTTCTTTGAGAGAAAGCGAGAGGAAGAGCAGGGGGAGGGGCAGAGGCAGAGGGAGAGAGAATCTCAAGCATACTCCCTGCTGAGCATGGTTCTGACACAGAGCTCATTCCCATGACCCAGAGATCATGACTGGAGTCACGAAGTTAGGAGTTGGAAGCTTAACTGGCTGAGCCACCCGGGAGCCCCAAGTAATGTGTTTTTATAAAGATCAGTATCAGATTGGTTTTGGCAATTTTAAAGAATATGTTAATAACCCCTTTTGAGAGACATTTGCTTAATTATATACTAATAAGTTTTAGGCTTCTGGGGGATGTTAAAGGCTATTTAAAAGAAACTGAAAGTAATACTTTCCCAAACACTATATCCTAGCCAGTCTGTTTAGTCGTAGGGAGATGGAGACTGTCTGTCTTTTGCGTAGCAGGAACATACCCACTGATGTGACGGTTGGGAGGAAATACTAAAGCAGTCATAATCTGAAAACTCAGACAAACTAAATCCTATGGAGAAAAGTCACAGAAATGTTTTTAATATACTAACTCCCTGAAACAGTCCTGTGTCCTTTGTTTTCACAGGCTAAGAGAAGGCATAGAAAGGATTTGGCAGCCACCGACTCCAGAAAAACGACAGAGAAGCTTTTGAAAACATTTTTGAAAAGACAGGCTATCAAAACTGCCTTAAAAAGCAAAAGGCAAGAAGCAAATTACATTACTTTTGAAGATTAAGAGCTTTTAGTTTTTGTGTTGGATTCCTGCGGTTCCCTTTCCCTGATTTTAACTTGCAGATCACAGAGAGTGAAATCAGAGGAATAAGTGGGCTATCCGTTGGACCCAGTAACTGGAAGTTGTGAAAATTCTCTGTTTGGTGAAGATCAGCTCTGATATGAGAATGGAAAGCTGTGGTGGTGGTTGTGGGCACTTTATACTTTGATTAGATGCATCTCTGTGCCTGCAGATGAGGCCCTGCCTGAGGTGCCTGGAGCCAGAGCTCCAGTGAGTTTTCCATTCTCCTGAGGGCATGCTTGCTTTAACAGCAGCAGCCAGGGGCAGCCAGGGCTGCAGGGTGAACCTGCTACAGCCCTGTGTTTTCCCCCCCTCTCAGTGCTTATGTCCTCAGTGGGGGCATCTTACTGACTCAACATCCTATTTCCTGTCACCTCTGCTTAAGTCTGTGTGTGCTTTTCAGAGACGAAGCACTCCCCAGTCTTACTCAAGTTCGAAGAGAAGATGACCTCTATGTTTTGCCACCTTTACAGAAGGAAGAGAAAAATAGGTAAATGTTTAACTGTTTAAAACTAGTAATTGTCTATATATTTATGTTTTTATCTACATGATAAGACATGTAGGAATTAATGCATCTGAAAATGCATTCTCAACACCTTTTAGAATGTTTTTCAAAGACTAAGATTTTTAGTTACTAACTTGTCCTTGTGGTTTGGTAGTTTGTGCTGGTTTGTCTCTTCATTCTGCAGACCCTGTGTTAGCCCCGTTCCTGTGTAATTTATGAAGGTGTGGATTTTCATGTTTCCTATCCTTTGTTTACACTTGCCATCTCTGCCTGTTTCTCAGCTCGAGTCATCTTTCTGTCACCACCACGCTACAAGATGACACACAACATCCTTGCTAAATCTAGTAGATACTTCGCAGGTGTCAGCTTACTGTACTTCTCAGCTGCACGTGACGTGGCATTTGTGTCGTCCTGCTATCTGGGCACCTCTCTGGCCACTTTCTCAGGCTCCTCTGTGGACTGTCCCTCTGGGTCGCTGTTCACTATCAGTGGCTTCTGTGGCTGAAGTGCAGGAGGGGGGCCAGGAAGTGTGTCTCTGCCCTCACCTGCCTGCATTCCTTTCTCAGGGGCTCTGGAGACACCAGGTAGCTTTCGGATCAGGCCAGTTCTGTTTATCTAGAGTTCTCTAGAGTTCTCCTATAGATGATCAGGCTGTATAGAACAAGCTCACATTAAGCAAACTCAAAGAATATCAGAATGTTTATATTAACGTATATAACTTAGAGTGAGAAACTAACCAAACGGACCAGAATTCTCTTGTTGGCCGCTCAAGAAGTATGCTCCTCCTCACTTCTTTCTCTGTCTTTGATCTTCCCTTTTTGCTGGAACCCCTACCCACCAAGTTCAATCTCTGCTTTGTGGTATAGAAGCTCTTAAAACCCAAACCTGATAATTTCATTTCAGAGCTTGAAACGCTTCCCAGCTTCTCATTTCTTTAGGATAAAACTTCATCCTCTTAATCACATGCTTCTCCAACCTCACCAGGTCCTCTCTATCATCTCCAGGCAGGCTTTCTTTCCCTTGTTTCCAGATGTTGATAGGATGTAGTGTTGCTGCATGGAACACTTGTCTCCATGAATGTTCCCCAGACTCTACAACTGTACCTTTCTTATTTGTGGCTGAGTCCAAGCAGTGCAATTGCCAGAGATTCCAGAAAACTTTAGGACACCACCCCCTCCCCCCCGCCACCGCCAATCCACATTGGAGTGAGATAATTCCCCTTATTGCAACTTTAGCAACCTGCTCCTCCCTTGTGATGGACATCGTTAGATCGTATTGTGGTTGCTCTCTGGCATGTGTCCCCTCCTGACTGGCTGTGGGAACAATGACAGCACGTATCGTGCCATCTTAGGTACCATTGTAGCTCCTACAACTAGTGGCCCCTTGCTCAGGAAATATTTTTATAAGTTATCATTAAATCATAGATACTATGAATGTATGCTTGACTTTCAGTTCAGAAGAAGAAGATGAAAGAGAATGGCAAGAAAGAATGAGTCAAAAACAAGCATTACAGGTACTTAATGTAATTTTTGAATTCAGAATATATTCTGTTATTTGCAGTGAATGACACGAAAATGAATAATGAGGTAGTATGAATTTATGGAAGTTCCTGGTAAAAAAAAATAGATGCCTTCTTTATTGTGTGTGTGTATATGTGTATGTGCATGTGTTTGTACAAATACACAGGCACCCATACACGTTTTGCCTATTTATATGGCATTTGCCATTATGCGTACGTGGATATCCAAAATAAGCCATCTTTCTTTTACAACCAACAACTAAACAAACAATAAGTATAAATAGTAATACCTACTTGTGTAAAAATAGAGAAAACGTACCACCCATAAATGACTTCAGGTAACATTTTGGTATGTATCAGCCCATTCTCCCACCCCACTCCTTATGGTTGAGCATCTGTGTGTATTTGGGTGTGTGTACATGTTAGGTATACATGCATGCATATATATGTGAATGTATGTCTGTGCCTATGTTCTAGGTATCCGTTGCTGTGTAACTTGGTGGCATGAAAACAGTTGTCACCCTCCTCTCGCCGTTCCGGGTGCTGCTTAGCTCAGCAAGGCAGTCCTCTCTGCGCGTCTCCCGTGTAAATGCAGGCAGTCCGTAGCTGGGGCTGAAGTCCCCTCCAGGGCTTCCTTACATGTCTGGTGGTTGATGCTGGCTGCCCATCCAAACACCTGCCTATGGCTTCTCCGTGTGGCCTGGGCTCGTTCACAGCATGGCACTTTGTTCCAAAGGCAAGCATCCCAAGAACAAGTGGCTGGCAGAGTGCTGTGGCCTTTCCTAGCCAGCTTCGGATGTAGTGCAGCCTCCCTCCTGTGTGCATTCTGTCTGGGAGAAGTTGGTCAGCGAGGCCAGCCCCTATTTAAGGGGAGAGGAATTAGATGAAAGAGTGTCAGAATCTGTGGTCATGTTTTAAAACCATCACCTCACATATTTTAATGAATGACATTTTTACAAATTAATGTACTGTAATAAGACTTTTGAGGTACAAGCCTCAACTTCTGCATTATTAATACAGCAAATGACAGCAGTCATGGTGAGGACCATGAACATTGTGATTAGAAAGACGTGCATTTAGGTATGGACTGTCCTGTGCCTAGCTATGTGTTCTTAGACAATTTAACTTCTCCAAGGCTTTATTTCCCTTTTCTTTTTTTCTTTTTTCTTTTTTTTTTTTTTTTGGTAAAACAAAAATACTAATGATGCCTACCTCGGAGGGCTGATGGGAACAGAAAGGTGCTCCCTTAGTGTGGGGAAAGCACGGGGTGTTCTGAGCTTGACTGGCCCAAGTGCTGGCTGACTTGCATATACACCTATACAACATACCTACATATAGGACAGCAAATTGTATTATTTTATTTTCTTTACGAATGAAGAGTTTTAAATTATTTTTGGTAATTATTTAAAATTTAGAAAAGTTTTTTTACTTTTTTATGTCTGAATTTCTCACTTATCATTTCATTTTTGATTATAGGTTAAGAACAAAACAAAGTTAATCTAATTAAGGGAGTTACAGATATTGTTCAAATCCAAAAGGCCTGCCTTTTGAATCCCTGCCTTATTGCCCTTGTACATGCTGTTCCTGCGACCTGGGATGTCATTGATCAGTCTCGTTGGTGTCTTTCAAGTCCCTGCTTACATGTCATTTTTTAATGAGGTCTTCTTTAACAAATGTTGTCTCTCTTCCTCTTCTCCTAATCTACTCTCGTATCAGATTAACCTGCTTTATTTTCTTGTTCATTTATTTACTTGTTTGGTTATTATATGTCTTTCTCCATGCCTAAGAGTAGGGACCTTATCTGGCATGTTCTGCCCGGTACCCTAGCACCTAGAACAGTGCCTGGCACATTAGGAGTGTCTGGTAAGTATTTTTTTCTTCTTAGTGAATTGAGTGAGTGAATGGATATATTCCCTAATCTACCTGTTCTCTGATACTTGTTGCAGGTTATGTACAACTGTATTTAGTCTGTTGTAGATTTCGTAGAACTATGTCTACAGTAGGTGCAATAAATATCAGGATAAATAGAATTAAGTGAATGAAATGTAAATTTCATAGTTACATTTTACTCTTTACAGGAAGAGTTATTTCATAATCCTCATGCCATAGATATTGAGTCTGAAGACTTTAGCAGCCTGCCTCTTGAAATAAAGCATGAAATCTTGACTGATATGAAAGAATTTACCAAGCGAAGAAGAACCTTATTTGAAGCAATGCCAGAGGTGAAATACACAACAACATATAATGCTTAGAATTAAGAACTTCAGCAAAATTTTTGATTAGAAAAAGCAAATTGATAAGTATTACTTATATAACATCTATGTTCAGTAAACAGCATTTGTGTCTCAGAGATCCACAAAAATATTTGTAATATATATTTGATCCATTATATAATTTGTAACTTTGGACTTATACATATTTCTTCAAAGAAGTCTTTTGACTCTCTACTTAAGACCACGGACACCTGGGTGACTCAGCTGGTTAAGCTTCTGACTCTTGATTTCAGCTCTAGTTATGATCTCAGGGTCAGGGGGATTGAGCCCTGCATTCGGGTCCACACTTAGCATGGGTCTTCCTGAGATTCTTTGTCTCTCACTCCCCTTGCTTGTGCGTGCTCTCTCTCAAATAAATAAGTCTATAAAAAAAATAAAAGCAGCAGGTCTTTCTCCTGCTCTGTGTTCTCATAACACGCTGTAATGTCTCTTTATAGTTTTTAGCATCCAAATGTGCCTGTTTTTCTCACTTCTATATTTCCAGCACCCAGGTCAGTATCTATCACATACTAAGTGCTCAGCATATGCTTGGTGGTTCAGTTCTTAGGTTAGTTCATAAGTTATTTTAACCCTAGAATACTAATAGTAATATAGAACTGAATGACAATGGAAAAGTATGTTCTAACTTGAAATTCCAGGTGTCTCTTCTTTGGCTGCAGGCCTAGAAATGCAATTGGACCTTCATCTTCCTTCTTCCTCTTTCTAGACAATGATAATAGGGAATTCATTGGTAAATTCTTCAACTTAGAGCATCTGCTGATGGCTCTACAGCCACAGAAACCTGGAGCAGTTGGTGTGTGGAGTTGGGGTCAAGCTTATCTCCTGCTCATGCTACACCATTAATTACTACTGCTTTTAGTGGGTGAATGAGTTTTGTTTTCCTTTCTGCTGCTACCACCTATTATTTCTCACATCATTCTTTAACTCACTGTAGGATAGAGTATACATTTGGCAGCAGCATAGTTCCTAATGAATGGATGTAGTGGTTTATTTTCCATAACTTTTTGAACACCTCTTAAATTGATACCAAAAATATGAAAAAGGCAGACAGGTCCTATTTCTTTCCCTATCAGTCCTTTGTTTTTCCATGAATAGTGTGAACACAGGAAAATACTAAGGTGTGGAGAAATGATATGGAAAGGACAGAAGTAAATTTATTTTCATTTCTAGGAGAAAAATCTGGGCTTAGTCTGTTTATCAGCATTTTATTTCTTGAGTGTGAAAGGATCTCTGGCTGGCCTTTGAGAAAATAGAATTTGGGTTATATAAACAACAGTGGTAAGGCATGGGAAGAAGGGAGATGGTCCCTAATGATTTGTTCCCTTTTGTTCTCTTGTTATTTTGTTATCCAGAGCCTGGATCAGTAGATGGTAGGGTAGAGGGTAGTGTTGCTCAGCAGCCCATGGCATCTGTAATTCTGATAGGGAAGGGAGGGTCTGAGTCATCCAGGTTGGACGTTTGTATCTGTACATTGGGCAAATGCAATATTGAGAATAGTAATAATAGTAAGTATTAACATAATAGCAATAGAAGCAGTGTAGGGTTGACAACCTGTTTTTGATCTCACATCTACCCCTTAGTATCCTTATGACTCTAGGGAGGCTACTTGTTTTGTCTCCGCTTTTTCATTTGTAGATGAGATAATGACACAGGTCTCATGGGGTGGCTGAAAATAAAATGGGATTATACGTATAAAACCTCCTAGAAAATGCCTTCCAGAAAATGCTTTATAATGTTATTTATTATCATAAATTATTTATTAGAGATAGAACCTACACAAGAGGGCATGAGTAAAGGTGGGGCAGAGGGAGAGAATCCTCAAACAGACTCCCCCCCAACCCTAAGCGCAGGCCTGTCTAAATGTCACAGCTCATGAGATCATGACCTGAGCCAAAACCAAAAGTTAGATGCTCAACTGACTGAGCCACCCAGGGGCCCCAGTTTACTTGCATATTTAGCTGCATTCCAGAAGGTTGTCTATTTATTAAGCCGTAATCAAAATGTCATGGTGCTTGGCATGCATTATGTGCTCAATAAATACTTTTTGAGTAAATGATTAAATCATTAACAGTATCCATGATTTCTTTTGCCTGAATCTTTTTGTTTTAAAGATTATATTTTAATAAGGTAGTTATAGTTTTTTCCTAGTATTCAGATTTTACTTTTAAAATAGGAAAATGTATGAGACGCCTGGGTGGCTCAGTGGTTAAGCGTCTGCCTTCGGCTCAGGGCGTGATCCTGAAGTCCTGGGATCGAGTCCCACATTGGGCTTCCTGCATGGAACCTGCTTCTCCCTCTGCCTATGTCTCTGCCTCTCTCTTTCTCTGTGTCTCTCATGAATAAATAAATAAAATCTTTTAAAAAAATATGAAAATGTCATCAGTGGAAAAAATCAATTACTCTTTGTCTCCTGGTGGGGAAAAGAAAGGAAATGGAATAATATCTGTTTTTAATACAAAAAAATAATTTTATTTATTTTTATTTTAGGAGTCTAATGACTTTTCACAGTATCAGCTCAAAGGCTTGCTTAAAAAAAACTATCTAAATCAACACATAGAAAATGTCCAAAAGGAAATGAATCAGCAACAGTCAGGACAAATCCAAAGGCAATATGAAGATGAAGGGGGCTTTTTGAAGGAGGTAGAGTCAAGGAGAGTGGTCTCTGAAGACACGTCGCATTACATCTTGATAAGAGGTATTGGGTAGCATCATTTACCTGATGGTTAAAAACCAAAAATATGTTGTGTCTCTGAATTCTAGGAACTACCACCATACTTGTGTAATAATAAATATATGTAGCCCTTAATGGATTACCTACTATTGTACTAACCTACTCTTTTTATTATGTATTTAAAATTTATTTATTTATTTACTCCCACTATAATTCACATATAGTGTTATATTAGTTTCAGGTGTACAATATCATGATTCAACAATTCTGTACATTACTCAGTGGCCCTGTACAAACCTCTTTAAAATTAAAAAACAAATTAACTATTAGTGCTGTTTTTTAATTTAATTTTAATTCAGTTTGCCACCATATAGTATAATACCCAGTGGTCATCACATCACGTGCCCTCCTTAATGCCTGTCACCCAATTACCCTATCTCTTATTGCTATTTATTTATTTTTAATTTATTCATGCAGAGAGAGAGGCAGAGACATAGGCAGAGGGAAAAGCAGGTTCCCCGCAGGGTGTCCAATGCGGGACTCGATCATAGAACCCTGGGATCATGCCCTGAGCAGAAGACAGATGCTCAACTACGGAGCCACCCAGGCGTTCCTCTTTTAGTGCTATTTAAATGAAAATTTATAACTTCATTTATGAGAACCAGTATTCTTTTATTGATCTTACTAGGAGTATATTATCTCACTGTAAAACTACATAATGAAAAGTTTTAATTTTTCTTAAGGTATTCAATCTAAGAAAGTTGCAGAGGATTCAAAGCCTCTGCCTTCTTCCAGTGAAATGCACAGCAGGTCTTTTGACATGAAGTCATCTTCATGTGAGGAACTGAAGCCGGAGAAAGAACCTGCTGCTACCCCTCCTTCTCCAAGAACTTCCCTGGCAATGCAGGCTGCTATGCTGGGAAGCGACTCGGAAGAGGAGTGGGAGAGTGAGAAGCACAAGCGATCTGATGCAAAGAATGCACCTGTGTCACCACTTACTGTATTAGCTATTCAGAAAGTTCTTGACGATGATGAAGACATGGAAGCACATGCTGGAAATGATGTGCAGACAGGAGGGTCAGGAGTGAAAAAGTTGCTTGAGAACAGTTGCTGTGAAGAAACTGTTGAAGATCTTAAAGAGGGAGATGGTGAGGGAATGCTCTTGCCAACAGGACCCCATCTACCTCTTATGAACTCTGCACATGAAACCAGCTCTGACACTGGCAAGAGGCTGGCAGACCCAGCTCATTTGTCACATCCTGTCTTCTGTCCAGGAAGTGTTCTAAAAGAAGAAATGTCACTTATGCATTTGGTGAGTGAGGCCTTTCAGAAAAGCGATGAGTCTATTGTTAAGGGTAGAAAAGACCCAGTTCCTTCAGAAAGCACAATGGTGATGCCCAGTGATGCACCTGGACTCCAGAGTGGGAGAGAACTGAAACCAACTCCTGCGATGAGTTCAAGTTCTGTGTCAAGGAATGAAACATACACCAAAGAGCCTGAGCTACAAGAGCTTTGTCCATCGGGCAGCAAATATGATTCCTCTGTTCTTTCAAGTGATGATGAAACAGAATGTGAAAAAAATTGTGATTCTGAAATAATTGGCACTCTCCATTTGCAAGAAACGAGTAATACACAAAGTGTCCCTTTGGAGGCGATGAGTAACTTAGAAGATGCAGTATCCTTTAATGGTAAAGAGCCTGAGAATTGCCTGAAAACCATCCAAGAACATGAGACAGTGGAATCCGCAGACCAGGACTTAATTTCAGTTCCTAAGTCCATGGAGCCAATGGAAATGGACTCTGAAGAAAGTGAATCTGATGGTAAGTGCATTTGCGCTTCAGAGATACTGAACTGTAAGTTTCACTTCTACAGGAGCCACAGAGAGATTCTGTGGTTTAGTCTGTTAACCACTAGTTACCACTTTGTTCAGATAATGAACTAGGAGCTCAGAAAGGTGAAACGACTTTCCCAAGGACACACAGCTGATTCTTTTTTTTTTTTTTTTTTTAAAGGAGGGAGTAGCCTGGTTGGAAAAGGTAAAAGTGAGTCTTTTAACTTTATGTTTTGAAATAATTACAAAATTTTCTTTTAAAGATTTTATTTATTTATATGAGAAAGAGAGTACAAGCAGGGGGAGGAGCAAAGGGAGAGGGAAAAACCCTGATGTGGGGCTAAGTCTCATGACCCCAGGATCATGACCTGAGCCAAAGACAGATACTTAACCGAGTCACCCGGGTGCCTCTGAAATAATTAAACTTAATACATTTAAAAGAATGTTACAAAACTTTCTGGTTCCTTCATCCAGTACCTGAATGGCTAGCACTTTACCATGTTTGCTTTATTCTATCCCTGTCTTTTTATATGTATTTATATACATATACATGCTTACTATATATTTATATCTGTACAGACTTCTATATGGTCGATCCTCATTCACAGATTTCTTATTTGCAAAATTGGCTACTTATAAAAATTGATTTGTAACCCCAGAATCAATACGCAGCAGTAGTATCTTTGTGGTCATTCATGGACCTGAGTAAAGTGTCTAGAAATTTGAATTGCCATACCACTCCCAGCTGCAGTTGCACAAGGTGTCAATGTTTCAGCTGTCTCACAGAGGTGACCAGAAGGTAAACATGGGAGAGAGCAGTGCAGTGCAGACCGAGGAGCTCTGGCGTGAGCTAGTTGGATGGGGTTTGAATCCCAATTCTGGCACCTGTTAGTGGGTCAGCCTCAGGCAAGTTTCTACACTCCAAAACCTCATTTTCTCTTTTGTAAGATAAAGAAATTATAGAGTTTACCAAGATTTAGGATTTGTGATTATAAATATATTTACTCGATGAACAGTAACATATTCATGGATTCATTGTTCACAGTGACTATATAGAACATACTGCTGTGAATTACAAGAATTGACTGTACACACACACAAGCTAACTTTTTTCCTGGTATCTGCTGAGCTTCTCCATTCTAAAGTTACTGTTTCCTCTTTGTAATTAGTATTTTATGGAAAGGAATTTTTAAAAAAGGTTTTATTTATTTTTCATGAGTGACACAGAGACAGAGGCAGAGACATAGGCAGAGGGAGAAGCAGGCTCCTCGCAGGGAGCCCAATGTGGGATTTGATCCCAGGACCCTGGGATCATGACCTGAGCTGAAGGCAGATGCTCAACTACTGAGCCACTCAGGTGCCTCTAAAGGAAAGGAATTTTTGAGGCTATGTAAATATGCTGTTCCTGAAAAAAAGCTTTGCCCACTTATTTTAGCATTTATTGATAACTTTTGCCTAAATAAATGATTACTACAATAGTTGCCAAATGGCAGTTTCCTAGTTCCATCGTTCTGTACGTATTTTTCATTTTACATCCTTTTATAAGGAAGATCTCCCCCTCTTCCTCACTTACTGTGTTTTTATATCAGTGTGGACTCAAGAATTTCTACTTTATTTAGTGACTTATGATGCTATCATACTTTATTGTTGGAATTGTCCTGGCTTTGGCCAGTAGGGGCCCCCTTCAGGCTGGCTTCTGTGAGTTTGGACAATTCCCCCGCATATTTTGAGGATTTTTTTTTAACTTTCTGATCAAGATATTACAGATTTATCCTATACTCGCCCTGCCCTGTCCCTAGATTCAGCCAATTCACCAGAGAACCGTAGTTCCCTATAATAGAGCATGATGTTTAGAAACCAAGATCTGGATCCTGAGTGTATTCACTGTTACTGGAGTGTCATTGCTTCAGGCCCTTTCAGGGCAGAGCAGGGAAGTATATTTATGTATACATATGCAAACATGCACACACACCCATCTGTATTTCTCTACAAATAAATATATATTTTCATATATAAAAATTTATAAGTTCATAGTGATACCTGCAGTCCAATCCAACATCTGATTTCATTTTAGCCTCCAGTTTTGTTACAATTTCTCTTTTTAACAGTGAGAAACCTTACTCCGTTATCCTTAATATATTGATTTATTACTTATTCCCTCTTGATTTGTATCCAACTCCTGGTCCCATTGATGTCTTCTTGGCCCCAGCCCCCATTCTGGGATCTCCAGCCCACTCTGTCCTGTTTGCATCCTGAAATCCAGCCTCCTCCACCTGAATAAAAAGAAGGGAATCATTTTTCCTTAAGGAGAAGACACAAGAGAAGAGAAGAGGAAAGGAAGATGGAAGAGAAGGGCTGTTTCTCCTGAGTACTTATTTGGGATTCTTTCCACTAAGTCTCAGCTTTATTCTTTGCTGTGTTCATAGTGAAATAGCATGACAACATATTTAACAACCTACATGATTGTTTACATCCTCTGATCCCTCTCCTTTTTGAACTCTGAAACAATATTAGTTAACTTAGCATATTTGTATAAAGCTTATATGCAAATCTTTTTCTCATTTTAAAAGCAGTGTGTTTATCTAATGGAAAAAGGCTTATTTTGAAGTTACAGGCATTTGTTATTAAATTTATTTAATAGTAATATGCTACCCTTATGTGTTTTCTAGTAAATCCAAGTCTTTTCAGGGTAAAACGTTTTTCACTATACATTGGGAATGCTTTTGATGATCTCAGGATAATTTTAAGTTTCACCTGTAAATAAAGGGACCTTTTTGTTTTGGTATAGGAAGTTTCATCGAAGTACAGAGTATAACTAGTAATTATGAAGTTCCAGCAGAGTTACACGAAGCTCCCAAATCTCCTTCTGGACAAAGTGAAGAACTGATAGGAGCTGAGAAGGAAGACGCCATGGATGACTCTGAGGGCCTCCTAAAACAGAACTCTGGAAGTGAGGCTTTGGATAGTGAGCCACATGAAGAAGCTGGAAAAGATGCAGACAATTCACTCAATGAATGGCAAGATATTAATTTGGTAATAATATGACATTGAGTTTTCACTTATTGCTAAGAAAGAGCCAAGTTAAATCGCTTTTGAACTTTAAGAAGTTACTGGATCAACGTTTATTAGCTATTTGCATGCTTTTTTCTTCTTAAATAACAATTTATTTTTTCATAGTTCTAGGGATTGGGAAATCTAAGATCAAGGCACAGGCTAATTTGGTTCCTAGTGAGAGCTGTCTGGCTTGCAGATGGATGTCTTCTTGCCACATCCTCATGTGGTAGGGGCAGGGGGTTGGGGGAAGGGGAGAGAGTAGGAAGGGAGGGAAGGAGATACCTTTCTTTTATAAGGCTACAGTCCTATCAGATTAGGGCCCCACCCTTATGACTTCTTTGAACCTTAATTATCTCCTAACGAACTATCTCCAGATGCAATCACATTTGGGCTTAGGGCTTTAACATATGAATTTTGGGGGAACACAGTTCATTCCACAGCAAGGACCACATTTTAGAATCAGCTTGTAATACCTAAAAACATAAAATACATATAAAGCTTTCAACATATGTGAGAGATCTGTATTTCAAAACTACAAAACACTGATAATAGAAATCAGGGAAAACCTAAATAGATGTGGTTTTGGATGGGAAGACCCAGTATTATTAAGATATTTCTTCTCGGGATCCCTGGGTGGCGCAGCGGTTTGGCGCCTGCCTTTGGCCCAGGGCACGATCCTGGAGACCCAGGATCGAATCCCACATCGGGCTCCTGGTGCATGGAGCCTGCTTCTCCCTCTGCCTGTGTCTCTGCCTCTCTCTCTCTCTCTCTCTCTCTCTCTGTGTGTGTGTGTAACTATCATAAATAAATAAAAAAAAAATTTAAAAAAAAAAAGATATTTCTTCTCAAGCTGATCCATAGATTAATGAATTCTAGTAAAAACCCAGTGATGGATATTAATAAGCTGATTCTAAAATTGACATGGAAAAGCAAAGAAACTAGAATAGTCAAAACAATTTTGAAAAAAAAAATTTGGAGGACTTACACACTACCTGATATCAAGATTTACCATTAAGCTACAGTAATCAGGAGAGTATGATATTGGCCAAGGGATAGATACATAGATCAGTAGAACAAAATAGAGTTCTACAACAGAACCAAACAATGGTAATGAACAGTTTGCCCCTGGCAAAGAGACAAATAGATCAATACAACATAATAGAAAGTACAGAACTGGATCCACGCTTATATGGAGAACAAATTTTCAGCAATGCTACAGAGGAGTTGGATGGAGAAAGGAGAGTGCTAGAAAAAAACCAACTTTGGTGTCTTGTATGATATAACAAAATTAACTCAAAACACATCACAAATTGTCGTTTTACAGTAACTCTTGAAATGAGGCAATGCGAATCTGAGTCTTCCAACTTTGTTTTTTTCAAAGTTGTTTGTGCATTTCCAAATGAATTTTAGAATTAGCTTCTCAATATGTGTGAAAAATGCCTACGGTTTGGATGAAATTGCATTGAATATACTGATCAATATGGAGAGAATTAACATCTTAGCAATACTATTTTCTGATCTGTGAAAATAGGATATATCTTGATTTATTCAGGTCTTTTAAAATTTTTTCAGCAATGTTTTGCAGTTTTCAGTGTACAGATCTTGCATATCCTTTTTTCAGATTTATCTCCAAGTATTTCATGTTTTTGAGGTTATAATAATTGACATTTTATTTCTCATAGTTTGTAACTTTTAGTATAATTCACAGAATTATACAGCCATCACAATTTTAGAACATTTTCACCACCCCAAAAAGAAGCCCTGTACCCAATTAGCAGTCCCTTCCTGTCCCTTCTCCATCTGGGACCACTCATCTACTTTATGGACTTGTCCTTTCTTGACATATTACATAAATGGGATCCTATAGCTTGTGGCCTTTTGTTTCTGGCTCCTTTCACTTAGCAGAATGTTTTCGAGGTCTATCCATGTTGTAGCATGTGTGAGTAATTATTTCTTTTTATTGCCAAATGGTATTCCATTGTACGGATGTGTACCACATTTTCTTCATCATTTGATGTACATTTGGGCTGTTGATACTTTTTGGCTATTATGAATAATGCTGCTTTTAACATTCATGTACAAGTTTTTGTGGGGACCTAGGTTTTTATTTATCTTTGGTGTACACTTAGGAATAGAACTGCTGGGTCACAGGGGAGCTATGTTAACCTTTTTGAGGCCCTGTCAAACTGTTTTCCAAAGTCTGCACCATTTCCACTAACCGTGTATGAGGGTTCCATTTTTTCCACATTCTACTTACTAACATCTGTCCTTTTTATTACAGTCGCCCTAGTGGGTGGGAAGTGGTATCTCACTCTGGTTTTTTTTTTTTTTTTTTTTTTTTAAGATTTTATTTATTTGAGAGAGAGAGAGAGAGAGAGAGAGAGAGATTGAGCAAGGGGAGGGGCAGAGAGAGAGAGAGAAGCAGGCCCCTGGCTGAGCAGGGAGCCCCAGATGAGGCTTGATTCCAGGACCCCAGGATCACGACCTGAGCTGAAGGCAGACTTTTAACTGACTGAGCCACCCAGATGCCCCTCACTCTGTGTTTTTTAAATTCAATTTGTTTAAACCCAAAACTCAACAATTTACCCATTATCTCCCCCTCTCCAGTAACCACCAGTTTATGCTTTGTATCGACGAACTTCTTAAAAATTTTTAATTAAAAAGTTTTTTTAGATTCTACCTGTAGGAGTGATTGTATGGTATTTGTCTTTCTCTGACTTTTTTTTATTAGCACAATGCCCTTGAGGTCCATCCATGTTGTCACAAAAGGCTAGATTTCATTTTTTTTTTTTTATGGCTGAATAGTATTTTCATTGTATATATGTATACCATAGTTTTCTTCCTTTTTTTTTTTTTTTAAGATTTATTTTTCAGTAATCTCTACATCCAATGTGGGGCTTAAAGCCACAGCCCTGAGATCAAGAGTTGTGTGCTGTACTGAATAAGCCAGCCTGGCGCCCCTCTCCAGTTTCTCTTCGTGCAATTTCTATTTGCATGCATTGTGTTCTTGCTGATGGCTCCTCTTTCGAGTAGGTTGCTGTCTGGAGATGGCCTCCACATCTGTGTGAGTTAGTGAGGAAACTCTAAAGATATCACAGACTTCCTCAGAAATCCAAGTGGGAAAGCTTGCTTGGTAATTTAGTCAGATGAAATGCAGGCTTTTTGTAACAAATGAGCTTAATTGGATCATTAATATAATTATCTACAGATGAAATTATTTTGTAGGAGGAACTGGAGACTCTGGAGAACGACCTGTTAGCACAGCAGCATTCATTGAAAGCGCAACAGCAGCAGCAAGAACGAACGGCTGCTACTGTGACGGGGCAGATGTTCCTAGAAAGCCAGGTGGGTGTACAACCCGGGGTTCCTTTAGCAATACCTACTGCTGTTGTCACTTAATCGAATTCCCCGAGGGAATGCCTTAAATAAAATGTGTATGCACTGCTCCCATCTCTGGTCAAGGCCAGGTCCTGCATTTCACAGGGGTCATGGCGTGTCTCTGGCTCTCTAGGAACTTCTTCGCCTCTTTGGCATTCCCTACATCGAGGCTCCCATGGAAGCAGAGGCTCAGTGTGCCATCCTGGACCTGACTGATCAAACTTCTGGGACAATCACTGATGATAGTGATATTTGGCTGTTTGGAGCACGGCATGTCTATAAAAACTTTTTTAATAAAAACAAGTTTGTAGAATATTACCAGTACGTGGACTTTCACAATCAACTTGGTAAGACTTCAGAGTATGATTATTTTTTGAGATTTACCTTTAGAAATTGTATTATGAATTTTTTCCTTTCCAAGGAACTAATTTGATGTTATTAATTAAAAAAGGTAGGTCTACACAAGTTTCCATATAAGTGATCATTTGCTTCTATAGAGGAATAGGATTTTTAAATTAAAATTAAGAAATTAAAACCCTGGGATCCCTGGATGGCTCAGCGGTTTAGTGTCTGCCTTTGGCCCAGGGCACGATCCTGGAGTCCCGGGATCGAGTCCCACATCGGGCTCCCGGCATGGAGCCTGCTTCTCCCTCCTCCTGTGTCTCTGCCTCTCTCTCTCTAGAGAGAGAGAGAGAGAGAGAGAGAGATATCAGGATATATATATATATATGTCTATCATGAATAAATAAATAAATAAATCTTAAAAAAAAAAAAGAAATGAAAACCCTAGTCATGTTTAGGCATTTTCTGCAGTTTCAACTACCTGACCGGCTTAGATTTTGACTGGTTCCCTGAGATCTCTGAAGTAAACCAGACGTGGTAGAGAGGGGAGGCAGGTGGAGTCACTCCTGCTGGAGTCATTAACTTCATGACCCCGTGCTGGTGCTTCTGGCAGTGATTCTTCACTTTCCCATTCATCTAACAAATATATATCAAGTAATTCCTGTATGCCAGCTCTTGTTCATGGCAGTGGGGGAAACAGTGGAGAATACAAGGCTAGGAGGAGAAACAGAAAATAAACATAAATCATAATTTGACATAATTACCATGTAGAAAAATAAAACTGTAGAAGAGATTAGGGTGACCTATAGTCACAGGAAGTGCATGTGCTATTGTATATAGAGTTGTGGTCAGGAAAGGCTTTATTAATAGGTAACTTTTGGGCTAGGGCCTAAAAAGAGGTAGTGTTGTACATACCTTAGGGATGAGCATGTTGGAAAAAGGGCTTAGATACTGCAGAGGCCCAGAGGCAGAATCTTGTTTGGTGTGTTGTAATAAAAATTTTAAAGATATTAAATGATTTTTACTTTTATAGGATTAGACCGGAACAAATTAATAAATTTGGCCTATTTGCTTGGAAGTGATTATACAGAAGGAATACCAACTGTTGGTTGTGTTACAGCCATGGAAATTCTGAATGAATTCCCTGGACATGGCCTGGAACCTCTCCTAAAATTCTCGTAAGTTCTTTCTTAATTTCTTTAATTCAAATGTTTATGTAAATATCCAATTTAGAGCACCTGAGTGGCGCAATTGGTTAAGTGTCCGACTCTTGGTTTTAGCTTAGTCATGGTTTCCGGATTGTGGGATCAAGCCCACATTGGGCTCTGTGTTCTGTGCTCGGCATGGAGTTTGTTTTGAGATTTTCTCCCTTTGCTTCTCCCCTCCCTGCACACACACGTGCATTCTCTTGCACTCTCTCTCGCTTTCTCTCAAATAAATAAATCTCTAAAAAAATATCCAATTTAACAAATAGAACTATTATTTACATCATGAACTGCCACAAATCACTGGAACTGATTGGGTTACCAAATTTGTTTTCCCTTTTCTAGACTTAAGTGAAAGCAGAGATAATTTTTAAAGAGACACAAGGCTTATCTTGGTTTAAGGTTACATAGCCAGGCCTGAGGGATTTCACAGGCAAGTAGAAATCCCTATTTCGTTCATTCACATACTTATTGAGTAGCTGCTATGTGTCAGACACCTGCTAGGCTCGGGTAGGAAAGTTGATTAAGCTATAGGCTGCGCTCTCAAGGAGCTCCACACTGTTGCGGAGACAGAAGCGAACACATCCCTGTACCTCCATGTGTTAAGTGTCCTGAAAGAGGGGGCCAGAGGGAGCATGGAAATACAGTACTAAGAACTTTACCCTGAGCCCTGTTGTCCTGTTTCTTGCTCTATGTACCCCACTGTGTTCAGTGGTGGTGCTGCATTCTATCCAGAACCTACCGTTGTGCCATCCTTGGCCTACACTTTAAAATTATGGAGGTTCTGGGATGGTGGTGTTTAGCAGGATGTCTGGGAAAGAGTTCTTTCTTAAGGTTGGTCCTTGATGGCATTTAAAAACATTGGAAAGTAAGCCATATACCTTAAATTTCACAGTTCCGTGGATTTTAGTCTATTCTAGAAGTTGTGATGGCATTTTCTAACCACCAGCTTGTCATAAGGTACTATTTGGTGGTAGCTGATTTAATGATTCTTTGGAGTTCTTCCAATTGTATCTTCTTTGTCTGAAAAATTCTCAGGTGTTCTAAAGAATCAGTGATTGGAATTAAAACTTAAATGCAGAAGTGGTTGTAATGTTTGCTGTCCTCCACCCATAGCACATGTACCAATGTATGCTTTCTCTCTCTGTCTTGTCATGATTTTCATTTTATTAAGGAGAAAATATACTGGAAGTAAATTATGAGATAGGTTGTAGGTCATGGTACAGAAATAACTTGAAAAACTACAAATAACTTTATTATACAAATAATAATAGAAAAATTATGAAATATGAATTTAAAGGATGGTTACAGTTAACACTTTGGTTTATATAATTTTAGACTTTTCTATGCATGTATACTCATATATATACAAACATATGTATACATGTGTACTCATACAAGTGTGTATTGTTTCTTTTTATAGGAATGGGATGATACCATATACTTTTATGTTACCTGTAAATTTGGTGATAGAACAGGCATACTATCAACAACGTATAGATGAATAACGTTTTTAATGACTCCATTGTAGTCTTTTGATAGATCATGATTGATTAATCACACGCCTATTGTTCCTATATTTTTAAAGTCTAAACAAACATGATTTGAGTGTCTTCATAGACATATCTTTGGGTTCTTAACTGATTATTTCAGGATAAGTAAAAATGGTGTTTAGCTTTTCAATTTGATGTCCTAAATTTTTTTATTTGTTGAAAATTTGAACTTCTGGTATAGTAAATGCCTGCTTATGCCATATTTCTTTTCTTTCAACAGTTTTTGCTCATTTGTTGTTAGTTGAGTGGTTTACGTTTTTAGAGTCCGCTTTAGCCATTTCTGCTCTGGTTGTCTGGCTGGTCAGTGGCAGAGAGGAGCAGTTGAGCTGGACCTGGCTCAGGAACATTTAAGATAGATGCAGAGTTAGAGAGCAGGAAGAGATGGAAGAGCAGAAAGATTGAGAATGTCGTCTTGCTTTCTTTTCTGCTTTTCCTTCTGCTGACCAGACCCCAGCTTGTCACCCCTTCTGGTGGAGCTACTAGGGGCCTGCCCACTGTATTCAGCCCAGCTGTGTTTGGTTAAGGTACACATGCTGTGCTCTTCTATGGAGCCTTCATTCAGAATTGGCTACCAACATTTAAATTAGGGGCGCTTTCATGGAACATTTTGGGTTGTCCGGGGGGAAAATGGGATCTGAAAACACTAGGTATAAATGCCCAGAGATTGCTGGCCAGGGCACAAATCCTTCTCTCTTATCACAGTCACTCCCACCCCCTGTTTTGTGTCCCCCCACAGCTCGGCTGATTTGCAGAGGCTATCTTTCATCTTGATGGTAGTGTTGGGCACGCCTGCTTTAAGGAGGGGATTTCTTCCGTGTCATGAGTGCTCCACATGTTGTGCTGACCCACGTAGCGGACAGTCGTGATTACTAACTTGTCTCAAAGATGAAAATTCTAAAGAGAGTAGGCAAGAATTATAGGTATTCTCTTAGCGCACTTTTGGAAACAGTATTGTAAAGGTGAAGGGGATAGATCTTACTTTTTGCCTTTTGATCCTGCAGTGAAGACTGCAGTTAGACTTTTGTACTGCTAGGTGGCACTCCTGCGTTGAAGTGAGACTGGCTGAGAACAGCTCTGAGTCCGCTTTCTAATACCACTAAGTATGTGAAGCAGTGGAACATGAGATAGAGGGTTTTGTTTTTTGTAACGTTTCATTGAATGCATAGATTGGTGAGGGTTTTCTTTGTTTTTAACTTTATGCCATTTATTCTTCCTAATTGTGTACATTTTTCTGGTTATCTCTGTGGCATTATAAAATACTTTAAACCTCAGTGGCTTCAAACAGCAATGGTCATTGATTTTGCCATGAACCTGCAGTTTGGTGAGGCTGCAGGGGCAGGTCTTGCCAGATTCTGTGTGTGTTGGGGGTTGGCTCAGCGGGGCTAGAGGATCCACTGGTGATAGAGCCACGTTTCTGGCCAGTGATGCTGACTGTCAGCCAGGAACTCAGCCAAAACAGTGGGCCGGGGCCTCGGACCCCCTCCATCTGGACCTCTTCACCAGCTGGAGCTTCCTCAGACCATGTCAGCTGCATCTGAGGTAGATATTCCAAGGGTCAGGATATGGAAACGACAGTCTCGTAAGACCTGGCACAGTGTCACTTCCTCAGTCATAGAGCTCACCTGGCTCAAGGGAAGGGGACATGGACGCCACTTCTGGATTGGGAGGAGAATCAAAGAATATGCGGCTAGCTGTCTTTAACTTGCCAGAGTAATTTATGCTCACAATGGGAAAACTGAAAAAGGAATAAAATACAAAGAAGAAAACGAACAGCTGTATCCTTGCTTAAAACATTGCCTGATACAGTGAAATAATAGCGATCATTGCTTTTATTATTTTAAATTGCCTTGTTTATTTTTTTTCTTCACATATATGCATTTTCTCCAAAATTGAGGTTATACCTGATGTAGAGTCGTGTTCTGCCTTTTTAAGATGTAACACGTTCTTGGTATTTTTACATACTGTTAAATATTCTTGGGTCTATTATTGTAGTTGATTTGAGGTAAATGATACAGATATATCACTTCATTTTCCTGCTGAGGAAGAGCCCCGGAGAAGTTGTGAGATCTGGAGGGTGATTCTCAGGGTCTGACTGCATTAGTCCCAGCTGTGGAATCTTGAGCAGGTAGTGACTTCTGCTTGTGGTCAGTTTCGTCCGTTGTGAGGTAAGGATGGTGGTGGGACTGTGCTCAGGTGATGATCGGGCATGTACAACAGCTGACACAGTGCCAGGGGCAAAGTGAGCTTGTAGTCTGTGTTTGCTCTGGTTATTCTGTGGGTCATAGGATTTGTTCTGGCACTTGAGTTTACATTTACCTTTATCTGTGGTGCATCCACTATACGTCATGAAGCCTTCTCTCCTTTCCCTTATAGAGAGTGGTGGCATGAAGCTCAAAAAAATAAGAAGATAAGACCTAACCCTTATGATACCAAAGTGAAAAAAAAATTACGCAAGCTGCAGCTCACACCTGGCTTCCCCAATCCAGCTGTTGCGGATGCTTACCTCAAACCTGTGGTGGATGATTCCAGGGGATCGTTTCTGTGGGGGAAACCAGATCTGGACAAAATTAGAGAGTATCCTTTTACTCCTTAAAAGGTAAAGGACTACTGAGCCAAATATGTGTTTTCTTTTGAGTCGTAGGGAACATCAACTTGGATCAGCTTTTTCTTCATACTCTGTTTATCTAAGATGTTCTTTTTTTTTTTTGTTTTTTGGGGGTGGTAAAGTAACAGAATTTGTCATCTTAACATTTTAAGCATACCATTCAGTGGCATTAAATACATTCACATTATTGTGCAACAATCACTAGTCACCAAATCCATCCCCGTTCTTTTCATCTGAAAAGAGTTGAAGCTTGAGATCCATTAACAACTCCCCCTCCCATCCCTTTCCCTCCCCTCGGCCCCTAGCAACTACAAGTCTACCTCCTGTCTCCATGGTTTTGACTAGTGAGTGCCTTCTATGAGTGGAATCATTCAGTATTGGTCCTTTTGTATCTGGCTTATTTCACTGAGCACTAAGTCCTCAAGGCTCGTCCATGCCAAAGTATAGGTCAGAATGTCCTTCCTCTTTAAGGCTGAATAATATTCCATTGTGTGGATATGCTATATTTTGCTTATCTGTTCATCTCTTGGTGGATACTTGGGTTGCTTCCATGTTTTAGCTATTATGAATAATTCCTTTAAAGAGGATCTTTATTTGAAATAGGTAGTGATGAGCATTCATAGATACAACCATATAATTATTCATCCTGAAAGAATAGAAAAGAGTATTAGTTTTGTTCTTTATTCTTATTTATATGTTCCTTTCTGCATATTTAGTTAACTATCTGGATAGATAATTAAATGTTTGCTGTAGTATTAGCCTAACTATCAAAGAAATATGTATCATATCTGTAAACCTGTTTTTGTTTTAGGTTAACCTTTTTTCCTAGTAATGAGCCTCTGATATCTTAAAATGAGAGTTGGGTATGTTTTATCTTAGAGGACACTGAACAGGAGACAGGGCCATGTGATTATGTTGCAGTAATTGTTTTGTCATTCTGTTCTCTTACTACTTTATTCTTTATAAATATGAAAATCTTTAGAGATACAGGGAATGAAATTATGGGTGAGTTCTTTGCAACTTTTTATTTATCACTTGTTTAAATATCTTTAAAAACATGTAGAAGCCTTAACTGCCTGCATATTTTGTCAGCGTTATTTTGGCTGGAATAGGACGAAGACAGATGAGTCTCTGTTTCCAGTATTAAAGCAACTGAACGCCCAGCAGGTAATCATGGCAGCTCTTTCCCCAAGTTCAGGGTAAGGAGTGAATGTAGAAAAGCTGTCAGTGTCAGCTCTTAAAGACTGGTTGGTTACTCTTTTATTTTAGGGCTCATAACATACATTTAAAGATTTTTACACTTTAGATAAGGGAATGGAGGAAAACAGAAAAAGGGGAAACTGCACCTTATCTTCATTTCTCAATTTCACTCTTACGGCTGGACTTTGGGGACTGTGAGTGTTCATTTTGACTTTGAAAAAACCAGGCTAATAATGGATTGCTCACTGAGGTGTTTACAGTTGACTATTTTAATTTTTCAGAGCTATTTGCATTTCAAAAAAAGTCTAGGAAGTATTTAGTCCAAAGCAATCCTGATCATTAAATTCTATCCAAGTACAAATGTTCTTGTTCTATAAATGAATCATCACTGTGGCACATTGGCAGGAGAGATTTTTGGGGGAGAGATGAGGCCTTTGTATGGCCCTCAGTTCTGTGGGTGGGTAGGTAATCATGTCTTGCTTTACCTGTGAGTATGTTTCTACCCATGCAGAAAACTGTTCCTGCCCCAGGGACAGCCTCCAAAATATATGTACAGGTTAACCACTTAGTAGAAATGAGACCATATTCTATAGGATACCTATATTTAAACCTATTGTCATTAGGTTTGTTTAATTTTGAAAACACTGAGCTGGACGGCCTTTTCTTTTCTTTTTTTTTTTTTTTTTAAAGATTTTATTTATTTACTCATGAGAGACACACAGAGAGAGAGAGAGAGAGAGAGAGGCAGAGACACAGGCAGAGGGAGAAGCAGGCTTCATGCAGGGAGCCTGATGTGGGACTCGATCCTGGGTCTCCAGGATCACGCCCTAGACTGAAGGCAGCGCTAAACCGCTGACCACCCAGGCTGCCCTGGACAGCCTTTCTGAAAAAAGACGGCCTTTCTGAAGAAAGTCTCTTGTTGCTTAATTGATGACTTTCTATAATGCAGACATTTATGCCAAAGGCAAGGAAAGCTTATTGGCTTTGTGACTAACTACTCCTTAATTTCAAATAAATTTTGTTGGAATATGTTTCTTCCTTTACATTATAGAAGTTAACATATATATAAAAAAAGAAGTTAATATAAATTTATTTCCCCAAAATTAGAAAATGAAAAAAAGTGAATTGAAATGATCCATTATTTATTTTCTCTCACACAAATATTAACATTTAGGTTTATTCTCTTTTATTCCCCACCCCTCGCTTCTCACATATATTTGTTATCATACATAAATACAATTTGATATTTCTAACCCCCCCTCATACTTATTAACCAAAGACTTTTTTTTCTGTATATTGCATGGTTTTTGTCATTTCAAATGACCAGATGACATTGCCTCAAAGAAATTTCACTTATTGGTTCAGTTCAGATTATCAGGTTTTCATAAATAATGCTGTGATCAACATTAGGCATAAAACTTCTCCCACAGGTAACTATTATTTTAATAATGTCTTCCTAAAATTGGATTCCTAAACAAAGGGCATGACCATTTCCCATGGTCCCCAGTAGGTAGTACTATGTGGTTGCCTCCTCAACATACTGAATGATGGCGATGTTTTTAAGAGAAGGGAAGAGTGGAATTTAGAAACAGACTCCTGAGGCTGTGCTATTCCAAAAGAAGATGGCATCTTTGGCTACTGAAAAACACACGACTGTCTTTGAGTACCTGGGAAGGGGCTACTTAGTTAGCTATGGACAGAGGGCTCAGATAGAGGTGATGCAATATTGCTTCAAGTGTGATCTAGAAAATAAAATTTTGCTGCCGTAAATCCTGTGGGAGAGATTTGGCTTTTGAGAGATAAGGAATTCACATTCTCTGAAAGAGTCCTCCAAAGCTAGTGACCAAGGTGAAGCTCTTTGGTTTGCTTCAGAAAGTTGACTGACTCGCCTGATTTTTTTTTTTTTATTATTTCATTTCATTTTTAGACGCAGCTCCGAATTGATTCTTTCTTTAGATTAGCTCAACAGGAGAGACAAGATGCTAAGGGTATTAGGAGCCAGAGACTTAACAGAGCTGTGACATGTATGCTGAGAAAAGAGCGAGAAGCAGCAGCCAGCGAAATAGAAGCAGTGTCTGTTGCCATGGAGAATGATTTTGAGTTCCCTGATAAGGCAAAAGGAAAAACCCAGAAGAGAAGCATCGTAAATAAATGGAAAGAGTCATCAAGCCCGAAAAAAAAGAGGCTTTCAGATTCCAAGCAAGAGAGAAGTTGTGGTGGGTTTTTTGTGGGGGCCTGCCTCTCGCCATCATCTGGGACCTCTTCAGGCGAGGACACGGAGTGTGGGTCTTCGGTGAACATGCGCTGCAGGGGAGCAGCCCTGGAGTCACCTGCCAGTCACCCAGGTTTGCAGAGTGCAGTGACGCCTGCTCCTGTCAGGGACCAAGGTGCAACCACCAGCAGCTCCAGTGACGATGATGGTGGGGGGCCAGTGCCAGTACTGGTGACTGCCAGATCTGTGTTTGGGAAGAGAAAGAGGAAACTGAGAGGTATAAGAGGAAAAAAGAGAAAAAGCTAATTTAAGTCCATGTGTTCCCCATCATCAGGTACAACTAACATTTTGTAATGAATTTGTTGTGAGGAAATAATACAATTAAAAGTATTTGCAAACTTTTTGTATTGTGTGGTTTTTAAAAATATGGATGCAAAACTGGACATTTATTTTTCCGACATGTTACATCTTTCTAGCATTTACATGTCATTGAATATTTCCCTGTATTCAGTCTTTGCTCATGTTTCTATTATCCTACAACGTCTGATGCTTTCTGACAGCATTAACAAAAAGGAAGTGTTTCTGTTAATCAGTAGTCACTGTCAGTCTGCATTCCCTCTGACTTTCTGACCCAGACGAGAAGAAATACACCCTTATTTCTTATTCCATAACAGTGACCATTTCCCACAACTACATGAAGTCCTGCCCCCTGCTGCGTCCCATTTTTCCTGGGGGTCCACTTAAAAGAATAGCAGGAGGGAACCTCACTGCTGCAACACACTTTGAAGAGTATGTTTGCTGTAGTGAGATAATTAGGGAACCTAAATGGGGTACATGATACCCCCCTTGAGTATTAACCAAATACAGGAACCTCTGTTCCAGAATATTTGCCTTTTAAAATACTTGGGTTGTGTTGAGCTGACTTCTGCCTGAATGGCTGTGGGGGCTCAGGGCCATGGCTGGACTGGTGTAGGTGGGCCATTGTTAGGAGAGGCTTTCGGAGGATGGTCATTGTTGACAGAAATGGTCCTTCTGAGTGGCTTAGCCTAGATTAGTTTATTATTGCTCCGGCCGCTGCTCACCCCACAGCGACTCCCAAAGTTCTGATTGCCTACAGTTACATCAGTCTGAGGAGAGTATTGCCAATTACCTTGAGCTTTGGTTCTGTGGCCTTCGGAGGTACCATCTCCCCAAGTCTGTGTCTTTCCTCAAATCTTTGATGTTTTCCATCTTGACTGATTTTCTTCCCTCCACTTTCAAATAATTGAAAGTCTTCACCCCAGTGAATACTAAGTACAGATACCTTTCAGCAACCTCTTACTGACTGCTGGATGCTTTTTTTTTTCTTTTTTTATTTTTTTTTCTCTTTTTTAAAAGATTTCATTTATTTACTTGACAGCACAAGCAGGGGGCATGGCAGAAGGAGAAGCACACTCCCCACTGAGCAGGGAGTCCTATGCGGGACTTGATCCCAAGACTCTGGGTCATGACCTGAGCCAAAGGCAGACACTTAATCCACTGAGCCACCCAGACCCCTTGGATGCTTTTTTTTAAGACTTTAATTTATATTGAGTTTTTAGCCCAACTTCTCAGATACTTGGTCTATAGCTGTACTTTTCCTTGCTTATCATTGGTTCTTTCCTAATTTGAAGTATCTCCTCTGCTTCTGATCAGTCTTCTCTAGCAGCTTTTTCTAGAGTTGACAAGGACATCCATGTAAATAAACTCAGATCTTTTTTTAGTGCTTCTTTTCTCTGGAGGTATTTGAAGCAGAACACTTATTTGGGGGGATGAGGTAGGGAGACATTACCTTTTTCATATTCTCATTTCTCAAAGCTACTTGAGAAGAGTTTTCTGCATATATGTTTGTAGGTAGTACTTTTGTTTAATTTTGTTGTCTTTAATAGATAATTTACATTTGTTTTGTACTATAGTAGTTGGGGTGAAGGCTAAGCTGCTATAGCAAAGAGGGTTCATATATAGTGGCATACATAAGCTGGACCGTTATTTATCTCCTACTCAACAGGCTGGCTAGTCTGAGCTGGTGAGGCAGCTGCCCACCATGAGGTCATTCAGGGTCCCAGGTTCAGTCATCCCCTAGGTTGTTGTCTTGTTTGAATGGTCTAGGTGCCTGCTATATCTGCATTTCGACCTGTGGAAGAGGAAAGAGCAAAAGCCCTGGCAAGCAGAATGTCTTTTGCTGAGGACATTCTGAATGTCCTTTGTCCTCCACTGTTGAGCTGAACTGAGCAAATTCTTCAGAATATACTAGAAATACTCAGAAATGTAAGCTCTACCAGGAAGAGGAATAATGGATATACAGCTTATGTTGTAAATATGCTATTTATAGACATTTTATATTCTTTTTTTTCCTCCTAACCTTCTGACCAAGACATGTCCTTTTGCAAGTGAAGAAACAAGCTTGGAGATACTGCCTTTACCAAATTCAACCATCTAGTAGGAAAGTGTAACCTGAACCCAAATCTTTTTTCCCCCAAATCTCCTAATTTGAAATTTAGGGTGATAGTTTACCTCTGAAATAGGTTGCCTGTTTAAAACCATCAGCAGCAAAACAAATTTATTACTATTCAAAGTGAGTTGGTATATACAGGTATGTTGTAGGATAACCATCATATACTTTTTCTATAAAATTATTTTCAGCTTACTAATCCTTTCTTCAACTTTCTCTACATTTGCTGTTAAACTCATCTATTGAGTTTTTTATTTTGTGTATTATATTTTCAGTTCTGTTCTTTTGACTAATTTTTATAGATTCTTGTTCTTTGGTGTAATTCTTGTCATCTATTCTTTGAATATCGTCATCGCGGTTACTTTAAAGTCTATATTAAACAGCTCCAATACCTGGGTTACCTGTAGGTTTCTTTCTGTTGTCTGTTTCTTGGTATGATTAGTAAACTTTGAGTGAATGCTTGGACGTTGTGTATAAAAAATTATAGATGATGTGGATCTTTCTCTGCAGAGGATTCCAGAAGGTATTCTGGCTGGCAGCACAGGGAAGATCTGACTATAATCAGGACCGGGTGGATTCAAGGCTGTTTTGCTGTCTTTGTAAGATTCCATCTTCTAGTTTCTCTCCATTACTAAAAAAGTAGTTTTCCAGGGGTTACCAACTGACAGCTGGGGTGTTTCTTATTGTGATCTTTGATCTGTGTTCAGCTACTCTTGCTTGGAAAATTAGCCTCTTACCCTAACATCTTGTTGAGCAAATGCCTTGAGTGAAGAATTAGTGCTGAGTGTGGGGTTTATTTCTCTGTGCTTTCTGGGATCTTGGGCTCCCAGTTCCTGGCTGCCTTGCCAGCTCCAAACACTGTTCTTTGTTTCCCCACTTCTGTGTGATCACCTGAAGTTCTGCTGGCATCCTGCCTTGTCTTCCTTTTGGCTTCTCAGTCTCTTTATTACAAATAATCAGCAAAAACGGAATTCTCAGCTGCCTTGGCAGCTCTCTCTTCACCTGTAGAGAGTGTGTGTGTAATCTGCTTTTCTAGTTCTCAGATGCAGATGTGTGCTATAAGCAACTTAGAGGTGGAGGCAGAGGTCTCTATGTACTTTTCAAACAGTTCAGTGGAACTGAAATAATCATTATCACTATGCCAGTTTAAATGCTCGATTTAGGGATTTGGCCTAAGAAATCTAGCACTGAGGTTTCATGATCTTCTAAATAGCTCCCTGAAAAAGGTAATTTTTATTCACTAAATGGTTCTTTATTCTTGTTTAAAAGAAAGCCAAAAAGAGAATGTCCTCTGCCCAGAATTAAGTATGAATAATAATTTTCATTGTTTAAGATTTTGTAGTTTGCAGAATGTTTTTTTTTTTACCTACTATATTCCTCCTGCAAATATATATTAAGTACCTTTTACCTCCCTGTTTTATAGGTGAGGAAGCCAAGAAACACATTGAGTACATGCCTGAAATCACAAGCAAATTATTGACAGTACTCATTAAAATTAGGCTCCCAGACTTCTAGTCCTGTCCAGTATATTAATGTGACTTCAAGTCAACAATGTTTTAGAAAGTATTTTTTAGAAGTTGTACCGACGCTCCTCTAAGTTTATTTAACTTCACACTATTGCTTGATTTTGTTACCTGTAAAAATTTCTTATTAAGGATATTTTCAGTGTCCAGGAAAATTTATACATACTCTGAGATGCAGCCATGCATGTGCAGGTGTACAGGTAACAGACACTCTCAGCCTTTCTCTTCAGTCCTAGGAGGAAGGAATTGTAATCTGATGCCTGTGCCCAGAGCACTACTGGACACATCCTCTAACATCTTGCTGTGGTTGTCTGATTCTAAAAATGATGTTCACACCCAGACAGGTAACATAAAACGTATGCTGCCTCCGCCTCACTGAACGTCATAGCTGTGGAGTCCTAAATAGCTCTTCGCATCAAAGTTAAAAAAATGGATCACTTTGTTTAAACAGTCTTCACTCACTTGTAGGAGTGGTTTATATTCACTTCCTGGCTCTAGCTCTCTTCATAAGACAGTCACGTGGACTATCCCTACTCTTCAGCCCCCTTATTTACAGGCATTCCAGCCTAATCTCTGCCACAGCTGTCGGGATCCTAATCCTTCCTGCAAACGCTGCCAGTGTGTACAGTACTAAACTGAATGCATGCTTTGGGGCTAGCCTTTCCAGCACCCTCAGAGGTCTCTCCAGAAAAAGTTGTGGATGGTACTTTTTAAACTTCTAGAAACTTAGCCAACCCATTTAGAATATGTCTGGACCTAACATTTAATAAACATTGATCTTCAGGCAGACGTGTAATAAAGACTGTGGTGGGTTTTTTTTTTGTGGGGGTGCCGGGGATGGAGGAGGAACTAAGTTGGGAGCAAAACGCGTGACCACTTTTGCTGTTGTTTAGCCGGTGACCTCAGGGACATTATTTAACTGTGTGCTTTCTTCATTTGTAAGCTGCAGGGGAAAATAATTTGTCTTCTAACTTATTGAGACATACTGCAAAGAAAAATGTGGTGGCTGTGAAAAGTGTCCTGGGATCCTTGGAAGAAAGGAGTACTATATAAATTCACGGTAGTATGGTGATTATTTATAATATGAGCCGAAACTGAGATGTCAAACATCAAAATGTCTTTTCCCAAAGTTGGAATAACAGCTCGTGTAAGCTTATTCACTTGGTGTGCTCTATTTGAGAGGCACAAAATACTTTAATTTCTTTAATTTTAAATATATTTGTGAGATGGTATGGTTCTTTAAAGTAAAAGCTACTCAAAGACCGTAAAATGGTTGGGCTTTTAGATGTTGGGTACTTACTAATGATGTACTGATAGAAACAAATGAACTTTGCATCTATTTATACTGCGGTTTTCACTACACTGAATGGAATTTCATTTTCTCCCAGTGTTTAAATCACGTCTTAAATGTGAAGATTGATACCTGACTAGTACATATAAAGATGATGCCTTTCTTTGTGATAGCTGAGGGAGTCTCTAGTGAGGGATGTCTTTTCTTCTTCCAGGGGCTTCTAAAATTTCTGACTCTGAAGCCTGTGTCCAAATTTTGATTTGTACTGCATAGATTGTGTTTTTCTGGGGGTCTATCTTAAATCAAAGTTTATTAGTATACGAAATTTTAATAGAATTTTCTGTGATATATTTGATGTTACTTAAGCTTTATTAGGTAAATATAAAAGCGCTTAACACATTTGAATTATTACTATTTGATATTTTAATGTATTATTTGCCTAGTTTTCAAGAAATGATCAAGAAAACATCAATATACAGCCATCCATTAGTTCATCGCTTAATGGATCCAGGAGCTCAAAAAGGTACATTATTTTGTTTCTTTGTATAATTTGACTGATTCTAAGAAGAGAAACAACTAACTAGAATACAAGTGCTTACCTCCTCAGTGTTCCCTAATGTCTTAAAGACAGCGAAGACTTTTCAGTTGCATATTGTATCTTGGCTTGTGTTTGCTAACCTGAAAATATCTATAATAATGCGTAATGTCTACTGCTATATGTATGGTCCTGATGATATGTTAGAAATAGTTTTGACAGACAAATTAAATATACAAACTTGCTGAGTACTTAGATGTTTTGTGTGTGTGTGTGTGTGAAAAAGAATAAATTTTTTTCCAGTCACATAATTGTGATTTCTAAGGTATTTCTTTTTTTTTTTTTTTTTTTTTTGGTATTTCTTTTTATATAGGAAGAGAGATAAAAAATAGTTTTGTGTAAGGCTACAAGTTTTTATGAATGCCTGCCTGAAAGATGATTTTAGACTATAAACACATTTCTAGCTTGTGTTTATGGTTCCTCTGATATACTAATTGGAGACAAATACATAATATGATTTGACCTTTCAGCATAAGGAGAATTTAAGTTTGAATTCTGCTATAATTGTAGTTATTTGAAATTGATCTCTCATTTTGACATCATTTTAAGTATCAAGAGTGACTTTGCATGGATTATGTAATGTAACTATCCCCATTGTCTTGAGATAAAAAGTGCAGACAGACACTCTAGATGTAGACCTGAACAGCAGGTACTATGTTTTGGTAGAACATTTGTTGTATAAATTTAATTATCTTGGCTTCTTTATTCTTCTCTCTCCTTTATCTACACACAGATGTTTTCTAAGAAATGTAGTCCTGTTTTTATTTATTTATTTATTTTTATTTTTTTATTTTTTATTTTTATTTTTTTCCTTTTTTTTAGGCATACCAGGTGGCCTCTACCTAGGTGAGCATATCTTTAGGCCAAGAGAGCTGGGAGTATGCCCAGTCTTGGCAGCCTACATGACTTAAACACAATGGTTTTACTGTAGTGATTTTTGCAAACCTAAATATTTAAAGTCACAATCAATTAGAGAATCCAGTTATTTAGACGATTTGAATGAAGATGCAATTTCTGTGCAGTTTATGAATAAAATTTCATCATCATCATTATCATTAGTAACAATGCTTGGTTTCAACTCTGAATATAATAATTTGGCAAATTACAAAGGAAATGGGAGAACTTCAGGGTAAGGTTGAGACAGAACAAGTATTAAAATATTTTATAACATGAGAAAACACACCCCATAGTCATCTGTATAGCCAATTAAAGCTTTAAAAATATGTTTGCAGGCAGATTAAGTGTGTGCTGTTGGGGCAGAGTCAGATGGCATTTTGTTGGAAAGACTTCTACTAACCAGAGGAACACTCAGTTCTTTAGTGCTGCAGGATAGTGACTTTTCCTGTCCCAACTCTTATACTTCGTATCTTGTGCTTGGAAAAGATGGAACAAACCTATAGCCCAGTTCTTCTATTCAGCGCTGGCCTGAAGGTCCAAGAATTATAGGATGTCACTAAGTTTTACACAGATTAAAGTTAGGACTGTGGTATGTATCAATAGTCCTCCTCTCTCTCTGGTTTCTAAAGCTACATGAAGGGTCTCAGCTCTCTAAAACCTTATTCATATTAACTATTCTAAATACCTTGTATTGCCTACCTGTTGCCAATAGCTACTCTGTAGCTGCTTAGCCCACATAACAGTGCATTATAAAATAGCTCCACAGGGTCTGTGGCCTTGGAGCAAATTTATCTTAAACCGCGGCTCAGTAATTTCTGTGCATGACTCCCAAATCTACCCCTCTAACCACTTACGTGATGTCCTTCTTACCACCTTGTGTCAGGTCAGAGCCTTCCAGAAGCAGATGCTAACATGGGATTAAATGTGTAGGAGATTCACTGGGGGAAATGTTTGTGGACAATAAAGAAAGAAGGGATGGAAATGGGTGGGGAGAGCCATCGGACCGGGAGGTGCAGGTCTGACATAGGTGAGAGGTGAGAGGAGAGGGAGCCAGTGGCCCACTAGATGTGTGTTGTCTGTGGAACAGGAGGGAGGTGACTAGCCAGCAGCCCCAGGGGAAGGCATGGCGTCTGAGGAGCCAAAGGGGCAGAACTGGAGCTGGCGGGCAGCAGTGCTCCAAGTGGCATCCCTTAATCTGAACAGCACACTCTGTGGCCAGTGTGTCGTACCACAGAGTAATACGCATTAAGAAAATAGTTTCCCTTTGCAGATTTACATCCCAGCCCAACGTATGTTTTCTATCTCAGTTTATACCAATTTCATTTCCGTGGCTGCTCAGAAATCTAGAATCATCCTAGTTCCTCCTCCTTGTACTGTTCATCATTACGTCCCATCAGTTTTACCAAAACATGTTTCCTGACTCCACTAGCCCTCTGGCAGCACCAGTTGCCTTGGTTCAGGTCTTTATCAATTCTTCTTGTGACTCTTGTAAGTGCCTTCTACTTACCTGGCTGCCCCCACTCTAGGGCAGCTCTTTCTTTATCCTATTGTCTTTCTCTAGAGCTGCATGATCTTTTCAAAAATTCATACCCATCACAATTGCTTTCAGCCTAAAATTCTTTGGTGCTTCATTATTTCCAATAGGACAAAATTAAGACTTTTTAGCATGCCTAAGTATTTTGTCTCATGTTACAACCCCCACTCATCCTACATTTTAGTTCTCAGAGTTTCCCAAACTGGAAAATTGGTCAGGAGTCTTTTTGCCCGTGGGCTTTTGCACATGCTGTTTTCTCTGCATGATGTGTCTTGTCCTCTCTCGTTTGACTCCCAGACTCATCATCGTCAGGGCGCAGGTCATTCTTTTCTGAGCTATCCAACATGTGGAGCTTTTTCTTTCTGTTTTTGAGTTAACTAGTTAAATCTCTATTACACTTACATGTTGCTCTATCTTTAAGTTTATAGTGCTCCGTCAGGTACTCCATAAAAAGAGTGAATGAATGAATGAATTAGCTATAACTGAGGCTTGTTGGCTGGACTTGCTGTTTGCTCATTGGTAATGATCTTGTGTTTCTGGTCTCCAGTGAGCTCGCTCTACTCAGAACTCAGTATAATGTGTTATTTAGGGATATCAGGTGAAAACCTTTCATGAACACCTTTATAAATCTTTAAGAGTTGGGGCAGCCCGGGTGGCTCAATGGTTTAGCGCCTCCTTCAGCCCAGGACTTGATCCTGGAAACCCAGGATCAAATCCTGTGTCGGGCTCCCTGCATGGAGCCTGCTTCTTCCTCTGCCTGTGTCTCTGCCTCTCTCTCTCTCTCTCTCTCTCTCTGTTCTCATAAATAAATAAATAAAATCTTTAAAAAAAATCTTTAGAGTTTGATTATGAAGAAGAAGGTTTATCTGAGTAATTCTTTTGCTGTTTAAGGGACATTATCAAACTATAGTCTGTCTGAGGCAGTAATTTTAATGCAGTAGTTGGAGTACCACAGCACATATAATTACTAATATGAGAATTGTTCATCAACACATGTTATGTGTTTAAAAAGTGATAGGAGCAACTATCTGCTAACTAAGACTAATACATTCCTTACATATTGAATGAAAATCACTCTTGAATTATCAGTCTGCCTCAAATGTCTTCAGAACACAAGTCTGAGTGTCACGTTTGCGTGTCAATTCTTACCCTCCAGGGGAGGTCCACCACCACTTCAAAGGCTCAAGGTTTCCTGCTTGGCTCCTAGAGCCAGTGCTCCTGCCTTAGTTTAGTTCTGGCATCTTTTGCCTGGATTATTATAAGGGGTTTAATGAGCTTCTAATGTAGTCTTCAGCTGTTGCTGCCAGAGGTGAGTGCTTCAATGACAAGTTTGCTCATGTCAGTTCCTGCTCCCAATGCCTCACCTTCGAGAACAAAGGTCAACATTTGTTCTATTTGTTCCTGCGAGTGCAATCCCAACCTGCCTCCTTAGGCTTATTTTCTATAACACTCCAACACTTACCTTGTACACCAGCTCCAGGGGTCTTCTGACTGCCCCGTCTCCTCTTGACCTTGCTTCCCCCTTGTCAGCCTGCTCCCCTTCTTTTTCCCTCCAAATACTCAAATGTCTCCCCCTTGAGAATGCTTCTCCCGATTCACCAACCACTGGTACTTCCCAAAGCACTTTAGAAATACTTCTTTTATTGTGCTTCCTTCATTCACATGTTTTCACAATAGTCCCAGCAGCAGACTTTGAGTACAACTAATTTTGGTTCTTTTTTTCTTTCCCACTTGCATCCTGAACAGCCCGGTAAAAGGTGCATTGTCTTTCTTCTGTAAATGTAGTGTCACTTGATCCACTTGATCAAAGTGACAGCTTCTGTGTATTCTTGAAACTAAGCAGACCTCCAGACAAAAAATGTTTGTGAACTCATCTCAGGAATTCATTTTAACATCAGGCCCAGGACCTTGACATTGCAGACACGTTCAGAATTCTTTCAGGTTAGCCTGTGACCATTTACTAATCAGAAAATATTTTTAACATCTTTCTCTTTTTCAAATCTCTAGCTATTTCTAAAAAGCACATGACATTGATCTTTGAATGGAAGATTCAGCTGAATGACAAGTCTCTTTCATTTAGTAGAGGAGATTTTACTTTAAATTTTGCTGACAGGTTTTCATGACAGCCCTCAAGTGGAAGGTTAAATTCACCTGTCATAGCTATTAAAGACATTTTTTTTTTGGTGTATTTCTGTGATCTGACCCTTCCATTTATTATTGTTGTTATTGACCTTAAATGTATAAAAGAGAAGAATATAGACAGAGCTTCTGTTTTTGAAGGCTTGCTGCAATCCAACCTCTGAAGTGAATTCACTGTTAGATTTTCCTCTTAAGAAAAGCATCACCATAATGTAGCAGAATCCTGCTAATTTTCACTTCATACTTGAAACTCCTTTAATTCTTAGGAGAACAAGAGCACCTGGTAGATTTTATTCATGATCAGCAAAGATTTAATAGCAGGAAAATGGTGTTAAGTCTTATTTGTATCAAAGAGCAT